CTAGATACATCCGTAGAGATGAAACTTTCTGTGCATGGATGGTTATGCACAGTTTTGTAGGTTGTTGTCTTGTATCTTGTGCGTCGGTGACACAGTGGTTAGGACTCTCGCTGGCCGTGCAAATAGTCCGAGGTTCGATCCCCTGCCGATGCACACCTGATATCTATGGTCGGCCTGAAAAAACTGGGCTTCCGATATCACATCAGTTATACAGTAAGTAATATTTACTGTTGGCAACATTTCGAGCACAATTTATACCTACTCATAATCATATGATCAAAATCAAATTTTATCCATAATGGTGGAATTATACTCTACACCATACACAGTGTCCAAGTCTTTATCCTTATATCTAGTAAATTTCAGTTTACCTGGTAAGCACAAATCACATAGGTAGGTGAAGATGTGACGAAGTTCAACAATAGCGCCCTAAGGGATGTGAACACTCCTTGAATGACCTTGAACGCATTGGTAGTCGTTGGCTGACGGCACCTGTTGTTATCATAGTTGAGAAATATCAACTCTATTCACCAGCTAAGCAGTAAATTTTGAGCCAGATGAGGTTTTTAAGTACTATTTGGACAATGTGTTAATAGCTCGTTAGGTTTAGGATTAGGTTTAAGGTAAGAATTGGGGTTAGGTATGTAGGATGAGGGTCATAATTAGGATTAAGGTTAGGTTTACGATCAAGGATAGATTTAGAGTTTATGTCATTTATTTTTATTTGTTTTACTATCCACATTCATTGATAATCAACCGATGGCTTTTCGGGGAAGACTGCACAACAGGAAAAGAGAGATGAACGATTCGCAAAAACCGGTCGTCTTCAGTCACCTCGGTGAATACATGTACATAAACTAGTCTAACTTAGCAATTGATGCTCGTCATTATAACTGGGACGTATTTTTAAGTTATGTCAGAGAAAGATACTCTGTTCAATATGTTTTCATGCATTTCCTTGTAAATTCTTCATTGTATGATTGGTTGGCTGAAGGTCACTTGTGCGTTCGCATCCTTTTTGGACGCTATTGTTGAACTTTGTTGAATATCCTAATCAAAGATATAGAATAAATGTTTAGAAATTGTAGTTGAATTATAATAAAACATAATAATTTTTCCTTCACGTTCCCAGTGGAACATAGGGCTCCAAGCTAGTGGCTTGAAGTTTCTGTAGCAGTGTTTAATTTTTACAGGATGGGGTTGCTAGCCTCATGCCCAACCTTTCCTCTTTACCAGCATTATTTCTGGCTCGGTGAGGTAAAGGAGTGCGCCGGCCGGGGATCGAACTCCGGACCATATGCATGGTCGGCGGGCGTCCTAACCGCTATACCACCGACGCAGTTGAATTATATTCACCTATTATTGTTTCCTTTAGTTCATAGAGGGACATTGGGCTTCAGCCAAACGTCTCCATTGCGTTAGGTTCTCCGCCAACGTTTTCATCTGGCTCCACGTTTGCTTATATGCTTTCATCTCCTCTTCTGTGCATAACCTCCTCCATGTCACCCTCGCACTGACGATCAACTCGCCGATTCCCATTCGGTCGGGTTCCACTCGAGCAATGGCCTGGCGTGTGGTGTCATTCACTCAATGGTTTGTTTTCTCAGAGTATGGTCAATCCACCTCCATTTCTTTCAGCATATTGGTTGCACAATCGGTTCCTGGTTGTTTCGCTCCCACAGATCCCTATTGTTGATCTTTTTTGGCCGGTCATCTGATCTTGAGCGAAGTACTGAGCAAAGACAGTTGTTGATGGAGTTGTGTAGTTTGTTTGAAGTGCTATTCCTGAGGTGGTGCGTCACCAAGTCTCTGATCCGTATAGTGAGTAGCACTGACTTCACATGCTGAGTGCCGAGTGTCGACCTCCACACAGACTTGAGAGAAATGAAAGCTTACCTTGTTTTCCCTATCCTCCGCTTGATGATATCTCCATCAATTCCGTCCACCTGTAGTTGAAACGATGCTCCCCAGGTAGGTAAAGGAGGCTGCCTCTTTCAGATTTCTTCCATTTATGATGGCTGATTGCTGTTGGCCAGGAATCTTCATCACCTACCTCTGTTTTTTCTGTGTTCACCTGAAGTCCTCTATCTTCTCTGGATGCTTGTTCTGCCAACTTGTCACTTTTCATCACATAGGATATCTTCCAGTTTGTGGGAAATCATATTCACCTAGTCAGGAAAAAAAATGCATGTATCTTATTTTGGCACTTAAAATAAATTCATCAAATCTATTTATTGTTGAATTATATTCACCTATTAAAAATTCTCATCCATCTTAATGTACTTTTAAAACCACTCATGCATCGAAATAGAGTATATGACTCATCAAACTACACTCACACACACCAAAAAGGTAAGTCTTTAATTCTACTGCCTATTCTGCCCGTATGAAAATTAAAAAAAAAACACTCCCGCTTTGACAATTATTTTAAACCAATAGGAGGCCAACTAGCCAACAGCCAATCAAAATATGTCTGTATCGACTTTTGCGCAAACTTTAAAATCTATCCAGATTTTTTGATAAAAGTAGAACAAATCGTAACGCAATTCAAGAATATAATATCACCAATAATATATACGTGAGAAAAATAAAGTGTTAATGCAAAGTTTCATTTAAAAAACTTGTCATTAAAGCGCCATAGCAATGTACTACGACGCTACAAATAGCGGGGGTTGCAATAAATAAAGCCAGTTAATTAGTATACAATTGGTGGATGGTGGCTAGCAGTGGAATCCAGGATGCGCATTTCGTCCTATTTGGGACTCGTCAGCTGGATGTACCTGCATTTCTCAGTGAGTGACGATGTTCCCACCGAGGCTCGAACCCAGTACCATAGTTACAAACGCCAAAGCGTTATCCACTAGACCACTTGGGCCACGAGACCGAGCACTTCGGTCCAATCAATCGACGGGAAAATCAAAAATTCAATTCAATAAAGCCAGTTAATGTTTACAAATCAGCATATTATACCCTTGTATGCATTACAGTCCTATATGACAGGTCAATCTCTAGCCCGACTAGTTCAGTGATAAATATTTCTGAAGATGTCTTTCCCACCGATGACATTGGTTGGTGCCAGTCGTGCTAAATGTATCACGAATTGGTAGAAGTTAGAATTCATGGACAGGCCATTGGAATCGGGTCTCAGTGGCTGAATTGTATATGAGCTTGCCTTGTAACCGGAAGGTCCTGGGTTCGGACCCTGGCTGTGGGTACGTACTGCCGATGATTCCAGAACTAGGCTGATGAAACAGCTGTCCAGTACTCTCTAGTAGTTTTTCAATAGTTCTCTAACTGGATTTTAGAATATCTCAAGGACCCAAATCAGATAGTCTACATCTACTCCACCCTCGCCATACGTAGCTCTAAACAACTGTGAAAGTCTTCGTGGATGGATGGATGGATACCAGGTGTGTTGGTTTGGCCACCTGTAACGCTCTCCAACCCCCTAACCTAATGTCTAATACTGCCTGTTGACGAAGGCGATTGCTCGTCATGCCCAACAGAGGTGTCCTATATAATCTCAATCGGTACATATTCACAACTTCCTGGATTATTGACTTACATTCACTCTCCTTACCTAATACTCTATGCCTTACTTCAATTTTAGACATACAGGTTGACTTTAATAGTAATAAAGTAATAATAATAATCATTGCTTTATTCCAGACAATACTTTCGATACAAATATGGAATTTTCAGCAGTATAGTACAATATTGCATCTAGTTTTACTTAGAGTTCCTCAGTAAGTTGGTAATTTCCTGTCTTACACACTCTCTTCACATTACATAAAATGGGCGCTTGATAAATGAGGTATACTGAACTTCCTGTACTTAGTCGTCCGAGCACATAGTCTTCTCTATTTCTTGCTTCTAGTTCTATCTAACCGATGACATACAGCAAGGAGAGAGTTGTGTATGGAGAGGATACTCAGGATCCGACAAAATAATACTTTTACGAGTTGATCACGGATTGATATCAGTTAGAGAACCATTGGAAACCAGCCATAGGGAGTACTGGACAGCTGTCTTATCTGCCTAGTTTGGCAATCGTCGACAGTACGCACCCACCGCCAGGGCTCGAACCCAGGACCTGAATGGTATATGAGCTTGCCTTGTAACCGGGATGGTCCTGAGTTCGAACCCCAGCGGGTGCATACTGTCGATGATTCCCAATTTTAGGATGAAACGGTTGTCCAGTACTCCCTGGCAGGTTTTCAGTGGTTCTCTAACCGATATCAATCCGTGATCAACTTGTAAAAACAAAACTAACTCTTACATCCAAACTATAAAAGTAATATTTGCCAATTTGTTCTGGGAATCCAAGTGTCTATCTACAGTAGCATTAAGGAGTTCCCTACGCAGTGTATCAAAGTCTTCCTTAACTAGACTAGGAAATATTGAAAATAAGGGGTGGAGGGGGCGAGGAATGAGCCTAAGTGAAGACTAGATAGGATAGAAGATTTAAACAGAAATTGTAAGATTAGAGACTCAGTAATAGTCAGCTGTAATACACACTAGCAAACTTCTCATATTTAACAAATTCACACTTTCTCCAAAAAAAAATCAATATTGTGTATATTATTGATTACTTGAGGGTGGGAAATGATGAGTTGAATGTGTTATCCCAGGGTGATATGAAGGAGATCGTGAGAGGTGGTTATGGGCAATCGGTGGGGTCAGTCAGCTAAAGGGGGACTGCAGAAAAAATGGACAAATTAGAGATGTTCCAGGATTTCATCATGAGCTGACGTTAGTTAGAGAATCATTGGAAATCCAGCTGGGAGTACTGGACAGCCAGATTTTTAGTCAGCCTAGTTTGGGACTCTTCAGCAGTACGCACCCACCGGGATTCAATGTGTTGAAGGTCCATGTTCCAATTATTATTGATAATAATAATAATACTGTATGTTGTATATACATGCTTTCATCTTCATATGGTTCGTTGTATTCATTAAATTTTTTCTCTCTTTCTTTTTTTTATCCTTACCTCATATTAGTGATCATCCTTCTCTGGGTAATGGTGGTATGGACGATGATGGGGATGTGGATGATGATATTGATGGTGATATCGAGGATGATGATGATGATGTCGGTATTGATTCATTCGATCTTAATCAGTCAGATCTGTCATTGAATAATAATAATAATCTACATAACAATCAAATTAGAACTGGTATCGGTACAACAAATAATAATGTTGATAATACTACTACCAATGATGATATTACAAGCGAAATGATGAATAGTAATAATAATAATAATAATAAGGGTGGGAATTATTGTTTAACTAATGGGAAAATTTCTCCACCAATCATGCAAGAGAACATCAATTTGGGAATAACACAAAATTATCCTTTCGGTAAGTAAATAAATATTAATTTTATATTTTATTTTATTGTATTGTATTATTTTTGTGGCATTCCTTTTGCGTTTCGAGTAGAAAAACGCACATATTAGTGAAACAGTATTATTATTATTATTATTTACTGGATGACAATGTTTCCAACACAATCTGTTGTTCATAATCACACGACTTCGAAATTTGAATTTTATAGTTTTCTTTGTTCTCTCTCTCTCTCCTATTTGTCGTCATCATTGGGGTAGTAGAATTTTCCAGATATCTGGGTGGGGACAGGTGTTGAATCATTCCTATTACACATATTCTCCTCAACTGATTCTATAAACAAAGCTTCATTCAGTGTAGCGTAGTGCTATAGCTGAACTATTCTCTAGATTTCTTATCTTATTCGGGTCAACCAATCTAGATTTTGCTGCTAGGTTTTAATGTTCGGCTAGTCTGACTGACTGCCCCTGTTCTACTAGTTTGACCTAAGTATTTGACCTCACTGAAAATGATTGTAGGCAGGGTATTAGATAAACTAAATTGTTTTGTTTTAAAGGCTCCACAGGATTGATTCTGTAACCGACAAAGCTTTTTTTATAATTGAGTTTGTGGATGGGTGGTTTGAATGCCAGCAGCCACTTTTACTCCTGTCTGCCTTGTTAAGAATTCTGCGTAAGATAGTTTCCGAGGTCCCTTCCTTGTGTGGAATTACTACTGATGATTTAGATTCCTTATTCTTGGTGATGTCTTGCGCATATTTGACATGCATGTCGTCATCAACATGATTATTACTATCACTATCACTTTTATCATTATTAATTTTATTTTTACATTTCCCTGTATATTTCCTGACATATTTAGCAGGGTAGTTATTAAGTTTCAAAGCTTCTCTTATATGTCTCACTTCATGTCTTAGATTTTGGAAGTTAATCTAATATCCTGCAATGATTGTCAGGTCAAATACATAAGTCAAACTAGTAGAACACGCAGGGGCAGTCAGTCAGACTAGCCTATCTAGTTTAGTTGACCCGAATAAGATAAGAAATCTAGAGAATAGTTAGTTCAGCTATAGGACTACACTACATGCGGTTACACACAACCATACATTAGGATGGGATGGATGGGATAAACGACAGTTTTAAAATGTAATGTCACAGGGTGAACGAAGAGATTGATGACTGACTGAAGCTTTGTTTATCGAATCAACTGAGGAGAATACGTGTGACAGGAATGGTTCAACACCTGTCCTCCTGGTACCTGGAAAATTCTACTACCCCAATGACGACGACAAATAGGAGAGGCCAAAGAAAGCTATAAAAGTCACGTTTCATAGTCGTGTGATTATAATTGATGAAATGATTATGAAGAATAATAATAAATTGTGTTCGAAACTGTGTCATCCAGTAAATAATACTATTTCTGTGATTGTGTGGTAATAATAATAATAATGGTAAAGCTTTATTTAAGACAGTATTCGAATATACGGTACAAAAATTTTCAGCGTATTCAGTTCCAAATTACTTTTTTCTTCACACAGGATTCACATGTAAATAAACAATCTGAAGTATATCTTCATTTCGTTGAAGAATTGTACAGCGTTTACTTGGGAGCAAGCGAAATCACCGCGCAAGTTTATGTATAGGTCATTTGATATATAACTGGACGATTAAAACAATGATAAAACCGGATGAAATTAAGCATTTTGGAGGAAAGTAATTTCTAATAACAAACTCATATGGAATTACTTACTACCACAGTGCTCAAGGTTTACACATATATAGAAGAACGCACAACCTCAACAGTACATCCATCCGTTTCGTCCTGTTCTCTTACAGTTGTCCTTATCTCTAGCCTGTCAATTGCCTTAAGACTGTCATTTCCTTCTCCTCCATATCACAACTAGGACTTACGCTGCCTTAACTCGTCATTTTCCACTCGGGTGTTATTTAGGGCGATAGTCTTGCGCTATGCATTACTCCATACCCTACCTTCTCTCTCTCTTTTCCGAGCTTAGTTTGTATAGTACATAAGACTATGTTTAAAAGTCATTGGGCTGATGATAAGCAGTCGACTACTGAACCACTAGCGCATATTTCCCTTCGTATACAGGTTTTTATTGATTAAATGCAGAGTCTTTTAAACACCTTGAGCAGCCATCGTCGAATTGCTACAGGACTGGACTACATTGACTCCTAGCTTAAAGACAGAGGGGAGTGAAGTGGTTGTTGAGGGCTTGTTGAACACTTGGAGGCAATCGGCCACAAGAAGCCTTAGATCTAGGTTTTGTGCTATCTAATATATCATCAAATCAATGTGTACCGTGATACCGAGCTGCCTAGAATGGTGGCCACATTGCGAACCTAACTGACTGATAGAATTCAGTCTGCACCAAACACCAAGGACTAGACACGTCACACTAGTCACTAGTGTCCAGTGAAAAAACACAGAACTTTGCACAGTTCACCAGTAACAGATATGCGAGGGAGAAAAAACAGTAGCGCTCATAGAGGAAACACGTGTGACAGTATATTGGAGAGAGAGAGAGAGAGAGAATATATCTACGCCATCACCAGTTTCCAGATATTCCTTTCCTACCATCCTGAGGTTAGGATCTAACCAGTCAGGCAGTCTACACTCTCCTACGTCACTGGCTCATATTGTCATGGATTGATTTCAAGTTTTGGTCTGCCCCCGCCCCCCATCACTAGCTCTTTTGCAACTTGCTCTCTTCTAGTCAGCTAACATTGACCGTCGGGGAAGGTTTGACACTTCGGAATATCCTTAATCATTTCAATAAATTCACCTTTACAATCTTATCGATTAAATCCTTCTCCTTATTTAATACTCTGCCCATATCGTATCTTAGCTGTCTTTGATCATAGGTGCCTGCTCTCTATCTCCCGTGTGAAGTGGTGGTATAACAAGGTGAGCAATATTGAGGTTAGGCACCAGTCGAGTGAGTTCTAGGTAAGGAGGGGAAATCAATAGACGAGGCCGTGAAATTACATCGACTGAGATGGTTAGGACATGCGTTACGCATGCATGCCTAGTCATCGCTTTCTCGACAATGGCAATGTTTGCTGACATAGGGTCAGGTTGGAAAAGAGCTAGCTATTGCTGATCAAACCAAAACATGGCTTCACCAGTCAATGAAATCTACAACAGTTAGTTTAAGCCACATAGGAAGATGTAGACTGGCTTTCCTGTTGGGGTCCTCGGTACGGTAAAAACAATGAAGACTGGAAACAATTGGTGATATGTCTCAAAGCGATCGTTCTCAATAGCTGGCTGGCGCAGATGTATCCACTCCTTGTGACTTATGATTTCCAATGAAACTATATTGTTCCTCGTTATTACTATTCCTTGTCTCATACCTCTGTTTACTGTCTGTATTATGCATTTCTTCTAGTTTCTTCTCTTGGTTTGTGTGCTACATGGAGTGGAGTGTGACGACTTGAACTTCCGCACATCGATGCAAAGTTCTATGTCGAAAAGAGACAGACAGACAGATCGTATCTTATTTATATCATTGATCGATTGTATTGCATCTGGTAACACGGAGTTCTCTATTTAGCCATTCAGTTTCTACACGTGCGTCGGTGGCACAGTGGTTAGGACTCTCGCCGACCCTGCACATGGTTCGAGGTTCGATCCCCTGCCGACGCACACCTGATGTCTATGGTCGGCTTGCAAAATTTTGGGCTACCGATATCCATGCTAAAAATTCCATACTTGTACCAAAAATACAGTGTGGAATCAAGCTGCAATAAAAAAATACATATTATTCATTTTTATTTATTTATTTCAAGGTAATATTATTCAAACACATGGACAAACACTAATCGATTTGGCTAGTGGTCAATTGTTTCAATTACAACCGCAAAATGCAAATCAACAACAACAACAATTGTTGAATAATTCAACCGACTTTCTACTTACCTGTCCTAATAGTACTAATGGTAATATTAACGGTGTATTGGGTAATGTGAATATTTCCTCATCACTTTCTCCAACGGTTATATTTGTACCCACCACCACGTATACAACAGCACAGAATAATCGTATGGAATTGACATGTGGTGGTGGCGTTGGTCTCGGTGTCGGTGGTGCTTCCTCTTCCGTTTCACCTAATCAAGGCACTGGTTCATCAATTTCTGCTGCTTTACCTTTAGATGAAAGTATGATTGATATATGTAAGTGTATTGATTTTTGAATATTACTGGTTAGTTTTACTGGACAGATGTTTCACCTTTAGTTTAGGAGTTATATCAGCCGTGAAGTGTTAGTGGGTGTCTGTTCGTCGATGTGGAAGACATGAAAAGACTGGCTGTCTTTGATCATAGGTGCCTGCGTTCTATTTCCGTGTAAAGTGGCATAATAAGGTGTGCAACATGGAGGTTAGGCGTAGAGTTCTAGGTAAACAGGGGAAATCAATCGACGAAGTCGTGAAGCTACAAAGACTGAGATGGTTAGGACATGTGTTACGTATGCCAAGCCATCGCCTCCCTCGACGAGCAATGTTAGCGGATATAGGGTCAGGCTGGAAAAGAGCTAGTGGAGGTCAAACAAAAACTTGGCACCAGTCAATGAAATCCACAACAGTTGGTCTAAGCCACGTAGGAAGGTGTAGACTTCCAGGCTGGGGTCCTCGGGACGGTAAAAATCTATGGTTGGAAACAATTGGTGACATGGCTCAAAATCGTTGTCAGTGGCCAGGGCAGATGCATCCACTCCCTGTGACTTATGATCTGCAATGAAACTGTTTTGTATTTCTTCATTACTCCTTTGTCTCACACGTCTGCTCACTGTTTCTATTATGCTTTTCTTGTACTTTCTTCTCTTGCTTCGCGTGCTACACGGAATGTGGCGACTTGAACTTCTGCACATTTGTGCAAAGTTCTATGTCGAAAACAGACAGACAGAGAGGGTGTCTGTTCGTCGATGACATTGGCCAGGGTTGGCGTTAAAATTCGCTACTTGACAGAAGTTAGAATTCTGTTAGGTTTTTGGCCATTAGATTTTATCCCAATGGCTGAATAATGCTTAGCAAGCTCACTTCCTCCTAATCTTGTGTTCTACTCCTGAGCGTAGGTGGAATCATGGTTGTTTATCGATGAAGAATTTTAAACTAGGACGAAATAGAGCTGTCCAGAGTTTTGTTTTCTGTAGTTTTTAATGTCACGTTTAATTGGGTTAATCTACTGGGTGTATGATTGTGTGTGTGTGTGTGTGTGTGGATACCGGCTCATCGGTTTAAACTCTTGGATTTAAAGCAAGCAACAAAAGGTGTTAATAAAGCAGGATTTAATGATGGATTCATCAAAATTTCGGTAGAACTCGTCAGCTGCTCAGTACTCTACATACACGGATATATATACTTTTGAAATTACATTGGGAGATATAAGACTGATAAGCAATTGAGCTACGTTGAATTAGTCATGCAGAAAGACAAGTGTGAATGTTTTCCAGGTCATATTTAAATAGATAAGGGGAGAGGGAGTATGAGAGGGTGAAATTAGGATAAAATACTTTACCCTTCAATTACATCACTTAGATAAACAATTAGACATTAGCGAATATAACAAGAATTGCAAACAGAGTAATATCAATAGTATTAGTTACAATAACAATAATAATAGGTAGAATAATAAGTAAGACGTATTACCATGGTAGATTCAGAGTGATGACCATTTCCTTTTGTACACAGAGACCTGGTTTATAAACTCGAATTGCACAAGCCTCTGCAAATGGAAGCATCTTCTTGTTTCTTTGTTTGTTGACAATGGTGAATGACTTGACAGCGTCGATATCATGTCCATAGTCCAGAAGATGTTTTGTTATTGAGGTTTTTAGCACTTTGCACTCAGCTGTTTTCAACCATTTTGGCAAATGCAATGCGTGGAATAGCGTCCGGTGATCGAATCAGGTTCATACGCTATTCGATCCATTCGGATTTTGGATCCCATGTACACGCTTTAGGTTCTGGTATCAGGATTTTCCTGGTTCCTTTAGCTCAACTCCTACATGTCCACCAATTTAGTACCAAGCTCTAGTCGTTCGCATTTGACCTTTCATTTTTTGTGAGGGATACCCGTGTGGCGTGAAGGTGGTGAGAATAGGAGTTACCTGATTATTATTATTATTGTATCCTTTAGTTCCTAGAGGAACATAGGGCTTCAGCTGCGCTATAAAGGTGAATGGCCTTGGCCCCCATATCATTTATGGGAGTGTTACCCAGTAGGTCATACTGACCCTTAAGTTGTAGCCGACATATCAACAGAAACCTTTCCTCCTCTTTGCCAGACTTACTACTACCCCCTGATTAGACAGTAGTGTGTTTATGTGAATGCATCTTTCGGAAATGGAACCTAGACCTCCTGTGTGTCTGGCGAGCATTTTATCATTTAAACCATTCACGATGTTACATACACAACGTGAAATATCGATAGTCGTATGATTTATATATACTTTTATATCATTGCTGTCTAATAATTAACCTTTTCACTTCCCATCTTTATTTTTCTCCACAATAAAGCACGTTTAGGCGGTATTGAAAACCTGATGCCTTCAACAGCTGTGATGTTTTCACCCAGTACATTGATTAAACAACCCCCACCTGAATGTATTGCACCACAATGTCTAGTCGATGTTCCTGTAAAACAAGATATCAATGGAAACGGAATTAGTAGTAATAATAATAATAGTAATAGTGATAAACCAGTTCGTTGTCTACCTATCGATGACATCCGTATTGATCTGCGTAAAACAGGTGGAGGTTCAGGTCGATCAGTGAAATTAGAACTACGTGAACTATTAGATCTTGTCTTAACGTCGGCATCATATTCACCAAATCCAATCGTGTTAGCCGACAGTGGAAAGATATACACACCACATCCTGGTACATCACAACGTCCTCCGGTTGGTTTAGTTACACAACTTCTTTGGCGTGCACGTGCACTAGATGATCGTGGCCCATGGATTCTCACTTTTTCTATGTGGTGGTTAATGCAACATTATTTTGGCATTGGTAGTCGTATGCATCATGTACGTCTACGTTGGGGACATGTACGACTGGTTCACGGGGTAATTGATCCAATGACCGGTGAATTGTGTGATGCTATTGAATATGTTGGCCCATCAAATTTTACAACAGTTAAAGCTTGTGCACTGCCTGAATCCAATCCTACTACTACAACTTCTGGACGAGAATCCTCATCAGTTGCTACCGGTGCTGGTGCTCCTGCTTCTGGTAGTGTTATTCGTCGTGTCTATCCATCTTCAGGATGGGCTGAGCCTGAAATCACTGTGGCGACTGCTCTGTCTACTGAAAGTAAAGCAAATCGACCAAGAGTTCGTCCACTGTATACTGATCCATCTGTACCACCGGTACCACCGCGTTCAGGACCTGATTTTGTCGCTTTGTATAAATCTTTCATTAGGTACAGACAAGAAGCATCACTGCTTCCGGATTCTCCGTTCTATGTTCAACCTTTACAGGTTAGTCAGTTAGTTGGTGATTACGTAATGATTTGATTGTCATTTTTTCTTTTGTAAAAATATGGTTTTTCATACATTTGGTTTCCTCTTGATAAACTTCGATAAAGAGAAAGAAAGACTAGATTTACAGGGTTAAAATGATACCGTCATTCTATTTCACAGGCTGTCATCAGCAGCAAACTACCTGAAAATACAATGGCTATAAATAATAACATTTCATACTTCATTGTTTGAAATGTATTAGAGAAAACAACTACTTGAGATCGGCCAGTCACACACGGCCTGTATAAACTGGTTTCTTGGTGTGCTTCCGTATTAGTAAACTTACCACCGGTTACGGCCCATCATAGGTGGGGCAAGTCGGGATGTGCAGTTGTTGGGGTTGACCTTCTCTAACTCACTCTCCAGAGTGGAGAGACAGCGTAGCTGGCTGGCATGTTGGTCATCTGAGGGAAACACCTTACTGTGGCTGTTATATCCCTATTCCCCAGCAGTACGACTTCGCCCACAGACCCCCAGCATAGCGTAAGAAAAATTCTGTTTACTAAAAAATGCAGATAATTAAGTTATAACGCCCTAACCCCCTCCCAACCCCCAAATCAAATCCGAATCATAACCCCAACCCTAACAAGCTATCAACCTATTTGTCCAAACAATACTTATAAACGAGTTAGGAGTAAAATTTGCACCTCAATTCATGTACAGTGTGCAGTGGTGCTATAATAACGACAGGTCCCTGTTTTAGTCGCCAGTCTTTGGAACTTTCGAGTGGAATATAGGGTCTAAAGCTTCACTATATATATTTTCTTTACGGTTTGGGATTGCTAGCTTCCATCTTTATTGGGCTTTCTATCGGTCGAGTGAAGTTCAAAAAAAGGTTGCGTCCACTAAGAATTGAACGTGAACTACAGACTCCTTTCTAATATGTGTTTCTTCCATATTTGAAACATTTATTCACGGTCTACACCCTGCATGCCAAATGATGGCTGTAGCTTGGTGACCAGCAGTGGAATCCAAGATGCTCATTCCATCCTATTTAGGAATCTTCAGTTAGTGGATGTACCTGCATTCCCTTTCCAGCGAGGGAGGGAGGGATGGTGTTCCCACTGAGTCTCGAATCCCAGTACCCACAATCTCAAACATCAAAGAGGTTATCCACTAGATTATTTGGACCAGGGGAAGGACCACCTTTGTGTGTTGTAATGGGTGGGTATCAGTAATGATTTAGTTTCCAAGCACTGGTTCTTCTGGGGATTTTGTTTGAGTAGTTTTGGAGGATTTCATCAGGAGCTGACATCAGTTAGAGAACCATTGGAACGCCTTAAAGGGGGGTACTGGACAGCTGTTTTGTCAGCCTATTTTAAGACTCTGTTTCAGCGGCACGCACCCACTCACCTCCACGGTTCGAACCGAGGGCCTTCTGGTGGTTACAAGGCGAGGAAGAGCGTAGACCATTAAGCCACTCACTGGGACCCAAACGATCAAATGGCCAGCCAGTCTATGAATTATAACTTCTGCCAATTCATGAATGACATAGCGCGACCACTTCTCCATGTCTTCTTCAATGAGTTACTGCCTCACCTTCAACCTGCTGTCCCCTAGTGTTCACGGCTTCCCACTATAACCCCAGGTTAACTGCCTGGTTAGGGGGGCCAGTCGCTAGCCTAGTGAGCATCAGATTAATTGATTTTCAAGTGTTGGTTTTGTCTGGATTTTTGTTTGATTAGTCGGAGGATTTCATCATGAGCTGACATCTGCGCATCCCCTTCCACCCCCCCCCCCGCTATTGCACAAGTCACCATCCATCATTGAAGCAAGCATTCGTACAAGGATCCTGTGTGTGCGAACAGAGACCGAACACTGCAGTCCAATCAATCGACGAGAAAGTCCAAATTGAATTAGATAAAAAAAAACGATGGCTAATAATAGCTTTGATATAATAATAAAGCTTTTTGATGGAGAGTCTTTTTTCTATTAACTTTCTTTTTGGTATTTCTTCTTCTTTTCCTTTTTCTTGTGTTCTCTTGTCTAGAATTCGTCTGCAGCCTATCATTCGAAAACTTCCATTATTTGGTTCAGTATCGGTGCATTGGGTAAAAATCGTATCGGTGCATTAATGCGTAATATTGTTGACAAGGTGGTACGACCAGATATGCCAAAAGTGGCGACAGCTGCTTTATCAGCTGCAACTAGTGCTTGTGTAATAGCTGCAGACAGAGCTGCTATGGCACTGACAGATAATCATTGCGTTGGCGTTGGTAGTAACACTGGTGCCAAAATGCCTTCATCAGATCTAAGCAGTCGTCAACAATCATTAGTTGACAAGTTGTCGTGTCTTCTAGGTACTAATATGTCAAATATGATGATGAGTAGTGAGTCGCCTACAAAAAAAATCAATATCAACACAAATAGTCATACTAACAATACTCATACTAATACAAATAATAATGGTGGTACAGTGATTATTTCACGTTTAGACAATCCTGAGACAAATCTGCTGCTTTTGTCACCGACCTCATCAGGCGGAGTGATGATGATGCAACAAGCCTTACCTACAACAGTGACATCAACATCAACAGCCACAGATATTGTTCGTAGTCCAAATCATTTCTTACTAAAGTTGCCAAAACTTGTAACACCTACTGCCAGCACCATCATTAACACGTCTACTACTACTACTAATACATTGGTGGTATCGTCGGATTCATCGTCACGATCACTGTCAATGTCATCAATGATAGCTCCGTTGTTGTCTACACAACCACCAGCAGCACCACAGGTGCTTCGAAATCAAATAGTTTATGAAACGTCATCATCAGCTCAACAGCCACAGCAATCACAGGTCCAGTGTCCTTCGTTGGTGTTCACTACTCAACCACACTTACAACAACAACAACAACAACATACCAACAGCAACACCACCAATCACAACAGACGTTTATTCAAGACACTGATCGTACAGTGATGAATCCTGTCAATCAGCTGGGTACAAATACTACCACTTTCCTTTTGTTGACTACTGTCGATGGTCAGACATTTTTAGCTCCTGCAGGAGGTTGTTTTGGCGGTTTCAATACCAACAACAACAATAATAATCAGTCGCCTGGTGGTGGTTACATATTATTACAAACTGCCACATCGACTGCTAATCATGCCACCAATGTTGTCACGCCTGGTTCTACTGCTGCTCATCTCATTTCACAGATTGAACATACAGATCCTGTACAACAACAACAGCAACAATCCTCGTTTGGTCAATATCATCAAGTCGTTCAGTCGTCTATTAACACGCCTATGCTAATTTATGGTTCAGGCGGCGGTGGTGGTGGTTATTCACCTATGAAGGGACAAAATATGATGGTGAGTTTTTTTTCTTTTTTGTGTGTGATTTGTGAATAGCTAATTAGTAGAAGTGTTTTAACGATCTTTGTCTAGTCCTTGGTGTTTGCTTCAGACTATAAATTCTGTCAGTCAGTCAGATTTGTAGTATGTGTGTGTGTGTGTGCCTAGCATGCTAGTTAGGTAGGTAGATGTAGGTGGCTAATCATCACGGTGTACTTTGATGGTTGGAGGCAAAATGACAGAAAGCCTTGGATGGATGTAAGTTTTGTGCTGGCTGGCTGACACACACCAGTCAACAAAGCGTATCTGCCACCTTGACACGGATTTGAGTTGTTCCTTCAAGATTGCAAATCTGTTTGTCTGTCTGTCTGTTTTCGACACAGAACTTTGCACGTATGTGCGACAGTTCAAGTCGCCACACTCCACTCCATGTACCACACAAAGCAACAGAAGAAAGTAGAAGAAATGCAAAGTAGAGACAGAAAACAGAGATATAAGGCGAAAAGAATAGTAATATGAAAGAACAATATAGTTTCATTGGAAATTATAAGTCACAAGGAGTGGATGCATCTGTACCAGCCAGTCATTGAGAACGATTTTGAGCCATGTCACCTATTGTCTCCAGCCTTCGTTGGTGTTTACCGTCCCGAGGACCCCAACCAGTCAGGAAGTCTATATCTTCCTACGTGGTCTAAACTAACTGTTGTGGATTTCATTGACTGATGAAGTCATGTTTTGGTTTATTATTATATTATTATTATATCCTTTAATTCCTAGACGAACATAGGGCTTCAGCCAAACGTCTCCATTGAGTTCGGCTTCCTGCCAACTTTTTCACCCCGCTCCAAGTCTGGAACCCACATGCTTTCATCTCCTCTTCACATGACCTCCTCCAAGTCACCCTCCACTGACGACCAACTCGCCGGTTCCCTTTTAGGTTAAACTTATGGGCTTGACTAGTGATGTCACTTGATGGTTTCCTCAGAGTATGGCCAATCCATCTCCATTTCTTCTTGCCTCTTTGTCTTACAATCGGTTCCTACTGAGTTGGTTCGCTCATTGCCAGAGCTCCCTCCCTGTTGCTGATCTTTTCTGGGCATCTGATCTTGAGCGAAGACAACTGTTAATGAAGGTCTGTATTTTGTTTGAGATGCTCTTTATGACGCGCCAAGTCTCTGATCCGTAGAGTGAGTAGCACTGACTTCATATTGGAGTTGAAAATCCGGATCTTATTTTTGATGCTGAGTTTTGGTTTGACTACCACTAACTGGTTCTTTTCCATCTTGATCCCCTCGCTTTGTAACCTGAAGATTCTGGGTTGGCGTGTAAGAATTTATGACGAAACATCTACCCAGAACTTCGCATTTGTTTTCCAATTGTTCGTTGACTGATGTCAGGTCGGGATCAAGCTTGTATTCAATCGAATCCCTGTTAACCAAGACTTGGAAATAATCATTTCTGCTTCAACTTTGTTCATGGATTGTTTGATGTCTGTTCGAGAGAACCCTTGAAAACAGATTGCTGGAAGTTAGAATTCATGGGTAAGCCATTGAGGAGTTGGGTGTCAGTGGCTGAATGGTCTACTATGGCAATGTCTGACTGTGAAGGGAGTGCCAAGAAAGTACATTGCACTAATCAAGGCACTCTATTCAAACTCACGTAGTCGTGTAAGGGCTTATGGGGAATTGTCATCTGAATTAGTAACAACCAGTGGTGTCCGACAGGGATGTCCACTTTCCCCATTTCTGTTTAACTTCATCATAGAAATGCTAATGGAAGTATCCTTAACTGAACGTAGTGACTTAGGAATCGACTTGTTACCAGGGAATAATCTAATGGACTTAGAATATGCAGATGACATAGTCCTGTTAGGGGAGGATGCTGACAAAATGCAGAGTCTTCTGAACACCTTGAGCAGCAATCTTCGTATGTTTGGCATGCGATTCGCCCCTGCAAAATGTAAGATGCTGCTACAGGACTGGACCACGTCAATCCCTAACTTAGTGATAGGGAGTGAAGTGATAGAACATGTTGACCACTTCACCTATTTGGGAAGTTGTATTAGCACCAACGGACTGATTGGCGATGAAATCTCAGCACGGATCCGAAAAGCTCGAGCTGCTTTCGCTGACTTACACCATCTCTGGCGTAGGCGTGACATCCGGTTATCAACCAAGGGACGTGTGTACTGCTCATCAGTTCGCTCCGTCCTTCTCTATGGCTCTGAAACATGGCCAATACGCGTTGAAGACATGAAAAGGTTGACTGCTTTCGATCATAGATGTCTGCGATCTCTGTCTCACGTTAGGTGGTTTCACAAGATAAGTAATGTTGACGTTAGGCGTAGAGTGTTGGGCAAAGAGGGAAAATCAATCGACGAGGCTATAAAGTTACATAGACTAAGATGGCTAGGTCACGTGCTGCGCATGCCTAACCACCGCCTCCCCCGACGGGCATTGCTAGCTGATATAGGTGAAGGTTGGAAAAGAGCCAGTGGTGGCCAAACAAAAACATGGCCTCATCAATCCATGAAATCCTTGACAGTTAAACTGAGTCAGGTAGGTAGGGAGATGCAGACTCCCGGGTTGGGGCCCTCGGGACTCTAGGAATCAATGGCTGGAGACAATAGGTGACATGGCTCAAAATCGTTGTCAATGGCCCAGATGTATTCAGTCTCTGTAATCTTTCATATTCCTTTCTACAATTACCCATTCTGTTTCACTCTTATATTTGTCAAACTCTATTGATTCTCTTCACTCATCTTCTTGTCTACCTTGTGTGCCAATTGGAACGTGGCAACTCGAACTGCTGCACTTCGGTGTCAAGTTCTATGTTGATTCCAGACAGACAGACAGACAGAATGGTCTACAAGCTTTCCTTGGAACTGGGAGGTCCTGGGTTCGAACCTAGATGGTGTGAGTGCGTACTCCCAATGAGTCTCCAAACTAGGCTGACGAAACAGCTATCCAGTACTCCCGATATCAATCTATGGACGAACTTGAAATTAAATCAAGTCCTTAAGGAAATAAAACTCAAGTAAAGTCATTTTTAGTATCTATCTAAAACTTGGGGACTGTGGTAGTTAGTAGTTCTATATGAGTTTGTTTATTAGATGTATCACACACAGTGATTGAGTGAAACAGTATTATTATTACATACTGGATGACGAGGTTTCGAAAAAAATTTATTTTTCATAGTCACACGACTTTGAAACTTGAGTTTTATAGATTTCTTTGTTTTCTCTTATTTGCGGGTAATAGAATTTGTCAGGTATCCGGGTGGACAGGTGTTGAATCATTCCTATTACACGTATTCGCTCTCAGTTGATTCGATAAACAAAGCTTCCGTTGTTATCAATCTCTCCCTTCACCCAGCTATTACATTAGATTTTAAAACTGTCATCCTATTCCACCATCCTATTGTATGGTTGTGTTTGATTGCATGTCATGTAGTGCTATAGCTGAACTTACTATTCTCTAGATTTCTTATCTTATTCGGGTCAACCAATCTAGATTTTGCTGCTAGGGTTTTATGATCGGCTAGTCTGACTGACTGCCCCTGTTCTACTAGTTTGACCTATGTATTTGACGTGATAATCATTGCAGGTAGGGTATTAGATAAACTAAATTGTTTTGTTTTAAAGGCTCCATTGGTAGGATCCTTTATCCGACGAAGCTTTTTTATAATTGAGTTTGTGGGTGGGTGGTTTGAATGCAGTAGCCACTTCTACTCCTGCGTAAGGTGACTTCCGAGGTTCCTTCCTAGTATGGAATTACTACTGATGAGATTGTCACAGGGTGGAGGGAGAGATTAATAGCAGAAGCTTTGAAAAATTCTACTACCCCTACGATGGCAGATAGGAGAGAACAAAGGGAACTATAAAATTCAAGTGTTGAAGTCGTGTGATTATAATTGATGCTGTGATTATGAATATTAAATTTTGTTCCAGACACACTGTCATCCAGTAAGTAATAATACTGTTTATATGCTCTTTAGTCAGAAGATTATTTTAGAGTTAGGTTTCGAACTAGTGAACTGATGACAGTAATCAAGAACTGTGGATTTAATGTGCTGGAATTCCTCAGGTGATGTGGGTGTGAGATCGTTGGTCTGATTAATAAGATTTTCAAATTGTTCACTTGAGTATACAATCTGTTGACTTTGGGTGAACTGTTACAGAATTTGGGGCCCAATGAATAGGGTTTGTTGTTGAATTTCAGAAAGAGTGACGGAAGAATAATTAAATACATATATATTGGGGGCAATTCGAAGAATACGTTTCTTTTGTCATTGAAAAGCAGTCCAAATCTGCTAACCTCAAGCAGGTAATAGCAGAAAAGAGATTCCCGGTTGACCCCAATAATTATGTATTTCATTCTTCTTTCGTCACTCTTTCTGAAATTCACCTACAAGCCCGATCATTGGGCTCTAAAATTCTGTAACAGTTCGTCCAAAGTCAACAGATTGCATACTCAAGTGCAATTTGAAAATCTTATTAATCAGACCAATGATCTCACACTCACATCACCTGAGGAATTCCAGCACATTAAACCCACAACAATACTGTTTCACTGTGTGATACATCTAATAAACAAACCAGTATGGAATTATATTCATTTTTGTGTTTTTTTATTCGTGTTGTACTTGATGTGTGTGTCTCCCATTGGACTTCAGTTCCCTTAAACTTTTTATTCTAAATTACGCTTATGTTTTCTATCCAAAAAAGGTATCACCATATCAACTGACAACAGTCATGGGTACAACGTCGATTCCGGTGACTCCAACTACAACAACAACAACTACTACTACGACTGCTGCAATCACACGATCATTAGTCACACCACGAACCTTTCAACACCACCAACAACAACAGCAACACCAACATCAACAACAACCGATTGCATATCACCTCACATCGAATCCAACCAGTAGCAGCAGCAACTCACTCCCGGTGAATGTTATCCTTTTGTCGAATAATCCAACGTCAAATTCGCTGTCTACCTCACCAATTCTCTTGAGTAATAATACTACACCAGCTGTTGTACACTCTCAATCTGCTCAACTACCGTCAACAATTTATCAAACAGAAAATCGTTGTGATTTTGATTTCAGCGTGTTGTATTCAGCTAGAGAGACTTCAGCTGTTAATACTACTAACACTACTACTGTGGGGAGTAGTAGTATGACTAGTACCATTGGTCAAGTCGATTCATCATTCCAACCATTGATTATTCAAAGAAATGATTCATCAAATATGGCGATTCGTCGAACAATTACTCTAATGAATTCAGGAAATCCATTAACTGTGGTCAATAATAATAATAATAATAGTGGTGCAACAAGCATGACCTCGAGACAGCCAGTTGTTGGGCCACCATCGTCATCAACAACTACGACAACAACAACAACTTCGGTCCTGCCTGCTTGTAATCAAATCCTTTGTGGACGTAGTTCATTGCAGCAATCACAACCACAACTACAACCCCCACCCCCAGCACCACCACCACCACAACACCTACAACAGACTCAACTCCCTGTATTGTTTGATACTTCCACGTCATCGGTGTTGAATACCAACTCAGTGACCAGTAGTGGCAGTGCTACTACTGCCTTATTACAGTTGAATCCAATGAAAACAGGCTATCAACAAACACAGAATAATAATAGTCTTATTCAAGCATTATCATGTGGTCAATTGATTGCTATTACACAGCCTGTGGATGGTGGTGGTGGTGTTGGTAGCAACGGTGAAAGTGTCGTCGTCGGAGGCAGTGTCCTACAGCCAGTGGTACATCATCATAATCAAATGCAACAACACCAGGTAGGTTGAGAGAGCATGCATGAAGTTTTATGCATCTGTGAGGTATCTGTAGCGAGTGGTTTTACCGGTTTCAACCCCTCTCCCCCCTAACCTCCTGTCTTTTATGCCCAACAGAAGGCAAGGGCCAGGTAACAGATCGTTCATTATGCAAATCAACACATATTAATAGATTTTCATGTACATTATTATAGATTATTGTTAACAGAAAAACACAGTCTTCTGATTGGTGGTTGTTTCTCACAGAAAGTTAACCTTGCATATCTTTTGTGACTGTTTCTTGAATGTCAGATCATCTATATGCTAACTGTATCCGCCTACTCAAAGTGTTTGTTCTCATTTTTCTCACGACCGGCATTTCGGACATAAACATTGACGTAAATTACTGTCCACCAATTTCGACTAACAGCCAGCTCTCACCACACTCATCTCTGCGTCAAAAACTTGCTACTGAAGTTGGTTTGGTCTGCTCGGTTCTAGGGGCTTTGTTCGTTTGTCCTGCTTTCTGGAATCTCGGCGCTCACTGATGTTCACATGTTTCTCTTTGTTTGCCGTTGCGATTGTGTCTGCGTAACCTCATCTCAAAGTGACCATATGTGGTACTTCCCATCTTGGAAAGTATTGGCCGGACTGACTCTGTCGCACATTTGTCGGTATTTTGCCTCACCCTTTCATATGCTGCTTTTTCCCGACCTCCTAGTAGCGTTCGTATTACTTTTATTAAATTTATCTGATTATCTTTCAGCTGAGTGTAACATTTGTAATGCATATTATCGATTACAGATGCCGTTTGAACTGTAATCTATTGATTTTAATCATAAGGTAATGTTATCTGAAACTGTAGAACCTGTTGAAGAAGAAGTTATCGTAGAGAATGTTCTTCTGAAAGGGTGATATCACTAGAAATTACAGTTATTTTATCTAATCAAACAACGATATTTCAAGTATTGGTTTGTAGGGATTTGGTTGATTGGTTACAGGATTTCATCATCATTAGCTGATATCAGTTAGAGAACCATTGGAAAACCAGCTGGGAGTACTAGACAACTTTTTCGCCCTAGTTTGGGATTCCTCAGCAGTATGCACCCACCGGGATTCGAACCCAGGACCTTCCGGTTGCAAGGCTAATAGGATAACAGTTTTAAAATCTAATGTAACAGCATGGTGGAGGGAGAGATTGATAACTGATTGAGGGTTTGTTTATCGAATCAACTAAGAGTGAATACATGTAATAGGAATGATTCGGCACCTATCCCCAGCCAGATATCTGGAAAATGCTACTACCCTTATGAGGACAAATATGAGAGGACAAAGAAGACTATAAAACTCAAGTTTCGAAGTTGTGTGATTATAATTGATTGGTATGATTATGAACAGTAATAAATTGTGTTCGAAACTGTGTCATCCAGTAAGTAATAATACTGTTTCACTCAATCACTGTGTGTGATACATCTAATAAATAAACTAATATGGAATGTCTTCATTTCTTTCTTATTGGATGCTTCTTTACTCTATGCATCACTTTTTTGATTCGAAGGTATTAGATTCGTCTAGTATGTGTATATACAAGTGTCTTTACTTTACTTTTCTGTCTTCTTCTGTTTTTCCTCTTAGCTTATCAATTCATCTTCTGATTTGATCACTGGGGGTCAACAACACCACCAACAACATCAACATCAACAGCCAACAATCACAATTCTTCCTATCGGTAATAATACAACTGCTCTTAGTAATAATAATAATAACAATGGTATTAAACCGGATCTGTACTTTGAGCTCCCTATGATCGATGGAGGTGATCAGAATACTAACAGTAATAATACTACTACTAATAATAATAACAATCCAGGTCAAACTGTCTATCGTTTATTGTGTACTGATAATTCTACTGATCGTACCTTCCTTACAAATGGATTAATATCATCAAATAATAATGAAATAAATCGTCTTGTTTTTATTAATACTACTCATAATCAAAATAATCATAGTAGTAGTTGTGGTCTATCAGAAACAATGAATAGTATATTCACAACAGAGAATTCCTTATATCCTCCTCCTCCAGCAACATCAGCAGTATCATCCACTGCACCACCGACATCATCGTCGTCGTCTACAACGCCATCATCAATGATAACAACGAATGATCATCACTACCTTATTGATCATTTTCCAAATGTTATCGTCAATCAGCAACACCAGCAACAACCATTGATCAATGGAGGTTATGCTTCATTGGCATCACCACAGTCCTCCGTTTCTTCATCCTCCTCCTCCTCCTTGTCGTCGGCGTCGGCGTCTTCAATGATGTCAATGAAAACAACTTTATCATCATCATCGTCGGGAACAGGATCAGCAGTTGGATCTAGATCTGGATCATCATTATTATTAGTGTCTACTGCAAATCCAACCATCTCTTCAAGTATACTTCAATCGCCAAAAATTTCTTTACTTACTACATCAAAATTAAAAAAGGATCAGGATACTATGGATAATAATAATAATCCTAATAATAATGCTAATTGTACTACCAGTGTGATGATGAATAATGCTCATCTTTTGAATTCTGGACATTTTATTAAAGGCGATGATGATAATCAATACTTGAGGCCTCCAACAATTTTGACTATAATGACAATAAATCCAACAAAACGAGAACAAGAATTCAATAATGACATGAGTAATAATAATAATACTACTAATAATAAAGGAAATACTAACAATAATAGCAATAGCAATAATAATTTCTTGTCAACACTACCATCCCTGTCAAGTATGACGTGCCATTTGATCCCGATAGAACCAAAACCTGAACAATTAAAAACTTTACAGTCAGTGAGTAAACTTTATTTTGAGTGTTTCTTGAAAAAAAATTATTTTCTGATTGTGAATAATTGGTTTAATTTTTGACTGGTGGATAGCGTGGAGTAGTCCACCATTAGATGGATAGATGAGCATTTTGTGCCACCACACCCCCTCTTTTCTATTTGAGACCTTTTGTTTGTGTTACTGCTTCACGCTCCCAGTGGAACATGGGACTTCAAGCTAGTAGACTGACTCGTAGTTTAGAAATAGGGAGTGAAGTGGTAGAGCACGTTGACCGCTTCACTTATTTGGGAAGTACTATCAGCCCCAACGGGTTGATCTCTGACGAAATCTCAGCAAAGATACAGAGGGCTAGTTTTGCAATAGTTTCCTCAGAGTATGGCCAATCCATCTCCATTTCTTCCTACTTAATAGTTGCACAATCGGTTCCTGGTTGGTTCGCTCATTGCCAGAGATCCCTCCCTGTTGTTGATCTTTTCTAGAAGGCCATCTGATCTCGAGTAGTATTGAACGAAGACAGTTGTTGATGAAGGTCTGTAGTTTGTTTGAGATGCTCCTTATGACGCACTGGCCAAGTCTCTGATCCCTTAAAGTGAATAGCACTGACTTCACATTGGAGGTGAAAATCCGGATCTTGTTTTCATTTTCATGCTGAGTGCTGAGTGTTGACCTCCACACAGACTTGAGAGTAATGAAAGCTTGTCCTGCTTTCCCGATCCTCATGCTTTGATATCCTCATCAGTTCGGTCGGCCTGTAGTTGAAACGATGCTTCCCAGGTAGGTGGGTAAGTAGGTGAAGGAGGTTGTTTCTTTCAGGTTCCTCCCATTTATGCTGGCTGATTGTTGTCTGTTGTTGGTGCTGTGGCTGTTGCTGTTGGTCAGGAATCTTCATCACCTCTGTTTTATCTATGTTCACTTGAAGTCCTATCTTTGATGCTTCTTCTGCCAACTTGTTGCTTTTCACTTGCATATCTTCCAGTTTGTGGGAAATCAGACATATATCATCGGCGAAGTCCAGATCCTCCAAAATCCTTTTTGTGTGAGTCCATTTCATGCCTGTCTCCTCGCTGCCAGTTGTCTGTCGCATTATCTAATCTACTGCAATCAGGAAAATCATTGGCGATACTAGGCACTCAGCTTGTCTTATTCCCGTTTTCACTTCGAAGGATTCCGTACGTTTCCCGTTGTGGATTACTTGGCATGCAGCGTTGTCGTACCAGTCGTACCAGTCAATCATCTGTGAGCAAACTTGAAAGATTGAAGTTATATTATTGTCATTCTTTGTTATAACCATTGCAATGTCAGGGGTGGTGGTCTACATATGATGATGATGAGGAGGAGGAGAACCTCTGAAATAGAATAATATTAATGTGAATTATTTAACAGCTTTATTCTGGACGACAATATATTAACACAACACACAGCGCAGAATTTCTGAGAATATTTAAATTACAAAAAAATATCTGCACTCTTTGTACAGGAATTTCAAGTAAAAAGAAATGGTTATTCGGCAGCAGTACATCTCGTGTTAACGCCAAATCTCTACGATTTCTCCCCCCCCTCGCCCACATTTCTCTTGGAGAAGCGTGTTATGCTGTTATTTAATATTATTATTATTATTATTCCCTAACGTTCAGAGTGGAACATAGGGCTCCAACAAGGCATCTCCACTTTGTTCTATTTTGCTGCTGTCCTCTTCAGCTGGCTGGCTCCACGATTAGTCACACGACCTCCTCCATGTCACCCTCGCATTGACGACCCACTGGGCCCTTCCAATTTGGATTCCACTTGAGGGCCTGCCATTACATAACAGCAAACTGAAACTGTATGCGATTTCATGTAGTAGCCATCCTAAAACTCAGTTCTACATGATTAAACTATGAGAAATGGGAGAAAATTTATATGGTCTCTACAGGGTTTCATTATGAGCTGACATTGGTTAGAGAGAACTATTAGAAAATCAGCCACAGGGAGTACTGGACAACTGTTTCGTCCAATCTCGCACTCGTCATCAGTACTCACCCCACTGCAAGGGTTTTGAATCCAGGACCTTTCGGTTACAAGGCGGCATGCTCTTCCTTTGGTTTCCGTTGAATCAGTCGGCCAGTTGTTTCGATTTTCTATGCATCCGTGTAGACGTGATATTCGGCTATCGCTCCATCCTCCTCTATGGTTGTGAGACCTGGTCATTGAGACTGGGGGACATGAAAAGGCTAGGTAGCTGTCTTCGATCATAGGTGCCTGCGCTATATCTCCCGTGTGATGTGGTAGGTGTAATAAGGTGAGCAATATTGAGGTTAGGCACCAGTCGAGTGAGTTCTAGGTAAGGAGGGGAAATCAATAGACGAGGCCGTGAAATTACATCGACTGAGATGGCTTGGACATGTGTTACGCATGCATTCCTAGTCACATCGCCTTTCTCGACAATGGGCAATGTTAGCTGACATAGGGTTAGGCTGAAAAGGAGCTAGCGACTGTCAAACCAAAACATGACTTCACCAGTCAGTGAAATCCACAACAGTTAGTCTAAGCCAGCCACGTAGAAAGGTGTAGACTTCCTGACTGGTTGGGGTCCTCGGGACGATAAAAACCAGTGGTTGGAAACAATTGGTGTTATGGCTCAAAATCTCTGTCAATGACAGCGTAGATGCATCCACTCCTTGTGACTTATAATATCCAATGAAACTATATTGTTCTTCGTTATTACTATTCCTTTGTCTCACACGTCTGTTTACTGTCTGTATTATGCATTTCTTCTACTTTCCTCTCTTGGTTTGTGTTCTACATGGAGTGGAGTGTGGCGACTTGGACTGCTGCACATCGGTGCAAAGTCGAAAATAGACAGACAGATTTTTATTTAAGAATATTTTTGATTAATCGTTATAATAAAGCTTGAAATACCTACAGACACACGCACGCATTATCCACTTAAATTTTATTTCCCCATTTTTGTCCTTTTTTAAAAATTAATTTTAGGTGATCAATTCAGCTAGTGCATTCCAGTGTTCTGATTTCCCTGCTTATGTTGAACAGTTATTTCGTAAAGGTATCCTAAGTGGTCTACGTCCATGGTGTTTAAATTTCACTGCATGGTTTATTAATACCCTTGTCTTTGAAGTAGAAAATCGTACAGAACATGTCAGCTTACGTTGGGGTGATTTTCGATTGTGTAAAACAGCTGATGGACGAATTGAATATATTTATTTTATTAATCGTATTACAAATAAACGTTATTATCTGGCAAGTTCACCAACATCATGTTGTGCACTAGGTTATAATAGAAGTGAATTGGACAATAAATCGTTGAATGAACCCCCTGTTCGTTGTCCATGCCCTGTAACTATATTCAAAGCATTAAGAGATAGACGACCTACTGCTTGCTTGGATCCATATTCAAAGTTCTACTTACAGGTAGGTTGATTGCCTATTATTATTATCATTATTATTGATTTTATTCCTTTGAGTTCCGAATGGAACATACGGGGATTCTTCAAACTTTTAAACTGTGAATTTTCGGTAGCAGTGGTGTTTCCTTACGGGATAGGATTGTTAGCCTCACGGCTGAACTTCACTCTTCACGAAGCATACCTACTACTAACGACTAAGGTTGGTTCAGAGGTGCGTTGGTTGGTTGGGAGGGTGGGATCCAATCCACACTGATAAAATGTAGATTCAAGTGTTGGTTTGTAGGGATTTGATTGATTGGTTACAGGATTTCATCATGAGCTGATATTGGTTAGAGAACAGTTGGAAATCCAGCCATAGGGAGTACTGGACAGCCAGCTGTTTCGTCAGCCTAGTTTGGGACTCTTCATCAGTACGCACCCACTCACCTCCGTGGTTCGGAACTAGGGACTTCTGGTTACAAAACAAGCGGCCACGTATACCATTAGGCCACTGGGACCCAACCGATCCAATGGGCAGCCAGTCCATGAATTCTTACTTCTGCCAATTCACAACATAGCGCGACCCCTAGCTAATGTCATCGGTGGCGAGTATATGTCCTCACACCCGATCTGCTGCACCCTACTGCTCACAACTTCTCACTAGAACCCCAGGTAACTACCTACCTGAATAGGGAAAGTCGCTAGTGAGCATCTTATCGATATTCAAGTGTTGGTTTCTAGGGATTTGGTTGATTGGTTTCGGGATTTCATCATGAGCTGTCATTGGTTAGAGAACCATTGGAAAACCAACAGGGAGTACTGGACAGCCAGCTGTTTCGTCAGCCTAGTCTGGGATTCTTCAGCAGTACGCACCCACTGGGTTGTTTTAATTGAATTTTACATTTTCCCGTTGATTGATTGGACCGAGGTGCTCGGTCTTTTAGGTTGACATGTAGGCTTCTTGTGCAGATGCTTCAACGATGTCTGGCCCAAGTGGTCTAATAGATAACGCTTCGGTGTTGAAAACTATAGGCACCGGGTTTGAGCCTCGGTGGGAACATCATCACTCACTGTGCAGAATGCAAGTACATCCAGCCAGATGACGAGTCCCAAATGGGACGCAATGTGCGTTATCCTGGCAGATTCCTGTTCCAGTCACCGTCCACCAGTTAAATTTAGATTCTGTTGTGAACATCTTAAAAGATGATGGATACTTCAGGACTGTACTGGAATGTATTGACTCGTAGCTTGTTTTAGAGAGATAGAGAGTGAAATGGGGGTTGCTGAATGTATTGACTAATATACTTGTATGGAAAGTTTTTCCAGCAGCTCTAATCGATGACTGGTTGCTAACTTAATCTCAGGATGGATACAAACCGTCTGATTTGTTGTGACATTTGCTAACTTACATTATCTTGCATGTAGAGATGTGTGTCTGAACAACAGTTTAGTCTCATTCTTAATTCCTGTTAGATTGAAATATGGCCACTGAAAGTTGAAGAGGTTCACTTTCGTTGACCACAATCTCCTGTATCAAATGGCATACTATTGATGAGTAATATTGACGTTAGGCGTAAAGCGTTAGATAAGTAGGACAAATCAATCGGTGAAGTTGTAAAGCTGCTGCATCGATTGAGATCACTGGGGACACTGAGTCGTTGTATTCCTCCACGGGGGAATGTTAGTCGTCATAGAATGATTAGGTTGGAAAAGAGTTAGGTGCGGTTTAATCAGAACATGACATCAATCAGTGAAATCTTTGACTCTATCACCTAGGATGGTGTAGACTGCCTTGTGGGGTTCCACGGAATACGTCAAAAACCAACGCCTGCAGAATATTGATGATATGGCTCAAAATCGTTCTCATTGATGGTGCAGAGATGGATTTACTCCCCCCTCACATATCCACTAAACCCTAATGTTTTTCAATGTTACTATCCTTTCTCTCTCACACACACGCACACACAAACATACACATTTCTGCTCATTATAGATCTTCTGAATGTCTCTTTAGTCTGCGTTTGTGTGTGTGTGTGTGTGTGTGCTAAATTGACATTGACAACTTGTGGTGGCTGCATCTCTATGCCATGTTCTATGCCGAAATCCTCCAGTCTGTCATTCGAAATCAAACATTCATGACCCAGTGTCACTGACTTCTCAGTCTTAGATCATGAGAACTGTAGTTAAACAAATCAATAGCAACTCATGAAGTCATCGTAGTTTCCCTGTCAATTCCTGAAGTTATCAGGCGTTAGCTTATAAGGGATTTGATTGGTTATAGGGATCGATCACAAGGTGACAATATCAGTTACAGAACCATTGGGGGGGTATACCAGTCGAAGTGTGCTGGATAGCTGTTTCGTCGTAGCTTGGGACTCTCCATCAGTACACATTCACAGGAGTTTGGACCAAAGACTTTAAAGACTTTACAAGGTGGGCTAGAGTGGACCATTCAGCCAATGTTTGAAGTTGGAATTCATGGGAACTGGTCATTGGGTCGGGTCCGACTGGCTAAATGAATGGTCTATGAGCTCACCTCGTTATCGGAAGTTTCTGAGTTTGAACTCCAATGGGTTCTTACTGATGAAGTGGAGTCTCAAATTAAACTGACGAAACCGAGATGCTCAGTTCTCCTAGGCTTTTCAGTGGTTCTCTAAATGTGACCAATCAAATTCCGGCAAACCAACACTTGTCAATTCCTGATATATCTCCGCTTATGTGTTCTATTTCCTAATAAGTAAAGCTTGGGTTGAGTTTTCGAAGTGACTGCTGCTCCATATGTTCAAGTTCTTCTTCAAGAAATTACCTTCGGTCTGGGCAGTATCATTAGTTCACTCACTCACATACACACACACACACACAGAATATGTGTGTCTCACTCTGGTCCAGGTGATAGATTTCTGAGTGTTTTATCAAATACAATTAAAAAATAAAATAATTGAGCAAAGAATATTTCTTTCGATAATTTCCTCCTCTTCTGGCTCTACAATTATATCTACATGTTATGTTTATATACACAGAATATTCTAGAATAGTAGTCAATAACAATATTAGTGTTTTTAAATAATATCCATTTGTAAAGTAAGATCACAATGGGGCAAAGTTAAACTTTCGACACCACTAACAACCAATCAGCAAACGACTTTGAACGAACCAATCATACTAAATAGGCATATATGGTGAATGGAAACGTATATTTATAGAAGAAAGCATAAAAAAGGATAAAAAGGTTACAAGGGGTATCTTTCTCGAACATGTGAGAGAAACATCTCCCAGTTTAGCATAAGACTGTCAATGGAGACGTCACACCACATCGTGTACTTATATACATCTGAATGCCGGTAAATGAGATCCTTTTGAGATCCATTTATAGCCCTTATCCTGTTTTTCAAGCAGCCCCAAAAACCTTCAATGGAATTCGCATGAGTCCTCGTAACGGGATCCACCCAGCAAACAAGTGATTTTCCCTATTTTACACGAGGCAATATCTCTGCAATGATGGTACCACTAAACTGTTGAGACGAGACTATTCTCAGTCTCGGCAGCTGCTGCTCTCACCGGCTGTTTCAACACCCAGTAGTTGCAGATGTAGAAACTCTGGGTTAGGGAGAGATGCAACCTAGGGAAAAAAGTTCCTACGAAATATTAAAATTATCAGCTTATCCGCTCTAATGTTAGCACGCTTCAAACACATAGCACAACGATGAACAAACCCACCAGTTGATCTGCTATAGCTTTTTAAAGTCATGATACCACCACACAATCAAATTCGTTCTTTCTGGAGCAACCCTAAATCCAGGCAATACTGGAAAACACTGTACTCCTCGAATTGCAACCGTAATCTTGTAAGGTCACGTATTAGAAAAGAATCAAGCGCTCTACAGCATTGAACTGTGTTCGTGAATCCCATTGGATAATTCGCTGATTGGTAGTTAGTGGTGTCGAAAGTTTAACTTCGCCCACAATGGAATTACCACAGTTCATTAAAGATGCTTAAATAATAATAATAATAATAAAGGTATAATAGCAAATAGAATATCAACTAAAATTAGGAAAATTCCACAAAAATTCAGGACCATTCAAACCTTGATCGACGGCCAAGGTAAAGACAATGTTTAAACTAGCTTCTTTTGCACGCTGAAATTAGGCTTCTTAATGTGGATCCCGATAGCCGGCCGGCCTCAGCAATATTTAATAGTCGAACTCTTATGGCGAAGTTAAGATTTGTTAGTATGCGGTAATGATAATGATAATAGCTTTATTCCAGAACAGTACTTGCGATACAGAATGGAATTCTCAGCATTTTATTACAGTATTGCATCCAGTTAGTAAATTAACAATAAAATGAAATTCTACATAGATTAAGGGTAATCTAAGTTAGTTTTGACAACAACATATTAGCATGTCGGTAGCAAAGCCAAAAGTGAACAGAATGTTTGAAGGTGTTCGAAATGTAGATACTAGCATATTTACTGGCGTAAGCGGTAACAAAAAGGTGGAGATATACATAGTGTGAAAGAACGACGAAGACTGTTTTAAATAGAGTTTTTGTAAGGAAGAAAGAAACAAAACAGCACAGCCGAGACTGACTAATTTTGACTCATGTGCAGAAATCAATAAAAACAAAGAAGTGGGAGGTTGGCTTTATGTGTCTTTGGTAAGCCATAAAGCCAACCTCCCACTTCGTCCAATTCTGGATATGTCAGGTTCTCCGTACCATTCAATAGCGAAAAACAAAGAACTCAAATTTTATTGTCACTCTTATTCTAAAAACTTCATGCAATTCTTCCCGATTATTAAACTTGAACAAAGCAAGAACAACAATTGTACCTGAAGATAATATGAGCTCATCCTTTATCATTATTTCGAGGATTCTTCTCAACTGGTTACAACCTGAACGTTAAAAAAAATATGAATCACATTAAAGATATGAACATACTCTTCCACGATCACACGGAGTAATTGGTTGGTAGGAGTTAAAAGTAACATTAATCCGGAATGATTTAACTGATTAGCAGTTACAAACACTGACTGACTATTTATAGAATAATTAGACAATTAGGCTTGGAAACAAAAAGAAAACAGGGTTGCGTAGATATGTGTGTGTGTTGTATAGAAACAAGGTTTAGCTAGAAAGAGCATAACAAAAAAGTAGATCGCGTAACTAAAGTAAAACGTCTTATCTAATAGCCAATAGAAAAAAAGGAAAGAAAAGAAACAAGATAGGGTGATTCATGTTTAGATGAGAGAGTAGAGTTTTCTAAACATTAAGAACACAATTTTCAGCGAAGAGACTCTTTTCAACGAATTTATTATCAAGCTGTACAATCGTATATATATGGTTTTATAAAGAAATTATATCCGGTGAGGGAATTAGGTCAAAGGTGTAAATACATGAAATAATAATAGTATGAAATAAATTTAAAATATTTGTGATTAGGTTCATAGTTTAAGTCAAGTGGAACAATAATTAATGTCATATATAAGATAATACATCAGGTGTATAGATTTTGGGGAGAGGCATATAATTGTAAGATTAATAGACGAATGTAAAATGTTACGTAATATGGTGTGAAATTTGATAACATAGAATTTAATATTGTAAAAATAAAGATAAAAAGTATACACATGAATAATTTTTGGTTTAAAATGTCAAGTAGATCAAGTGGAAAAGATTCAGAATGAGAGTCGTAATAATAATAATAATAATAATAATCGAAGTAATAAGGGAAAAGTACATACAATAATAAATAAATAAATGTCTATCCCTCTACGGCCAAGGCAGCAGTAGGGATTGTACATACTTCTTTTGTACACAAAGGTCTGGCTTAAAGTCATGAATTGCCAAGGCCTCAGCTGTCTTTAGAAGTCTGTAACGAAGAAAACGCGGGAAGTTGGCATGAATTCTGTATATGACCTTGAAATCATGGTCAGGGTTGACCGAGTGACAGGAGTCGATGAGGTGTTCTAAGATAGAGCTTCGCACACATTTCCTTTCTCCTTTGTAAAACCAAGCTGGAATATGTTCTCGTATCCGTGTGGAGAGCATTCTCTGACTACGGCCAATGTACCTTGCTCCACAAGAGCAGGTGAACTGGTAGATGCACATGGAGGCGGTCAGACGGGGGAGCTTATCTTTTACAGAGGTAGAGAACAGTTTGCGGCTCGTGAACGTCATATGTAATCTAGCTGCAGGGAACGTTTTACTAACTGATTTAGAAAGACGATTTTTGAGCATATCAGAAGCTTGATCTCCTTTGAATTCCAAGTTCACGAATAGGGTTTTCTTTGGAACTGAGTCAGTGACCAGTTTAGACTGCTTCTCTTTCATGTTTCTGTCAATAAATCGGTTAGGGTAACCGTTTTCTGCGAGTGTGGCTTTCAGGAAGTCAAGTTCTGAGTCGACGCAATCAGAACTACAAATTTTCCTTATCCTAAAGCAGAGTGAATGGATTAAATTCCTTTTCCTGGAAATAGGCACCCAACTGTAAAAATTAGTTAGTTGTCCGTTCCATGTACGTTTCCGGTGGATCGATCTCTTGAGAGATCCGTCATTCCGTCTGCTAAGGCACACATCAAGAAACGGAATACTTAGTTCCGATTCCTTTTCTATGGTGAATTGTAAAGAAGGATGGCAGTTGTTGAAGGCGAACAAGACATCATCAAGAACTACGTTCTTATCGCAGATGACGAAAGTGTCGTCTACGTATCTTTTATAAATGTCAAAATGCCCGATGGTTTGACTAAGTTGAGAATTTTCCAGCTTTGCCATAAAACAATCAGCTAACAAAGGACCCAGTGGTGATCCCATGGCAATGCCATCTCTCTGTCTATAGATCTCATTGTTGAAGGTGAACTGAACATTCAACGTGCATCTCAATAAAAGTTCTTTGAGGTGGATTGTCGGTAAACCTATTTCCAAACCATGTGTATCAATATACTCACATAAATAGCTAACAGTTTCCATGAGAGGAACATTGGTAAATAGCGACGTGACATCTAATGAGAACAGGACTTTTTCTGAGACATTAAAATCTTTAATACTATCAATAAATTTAAACGTATCATCAATGGAAAACTTAGATACTTGCCTTCTGACTGGTTCCAATATTTCGGCTAGCCATTGGGCGATTCCGTGATAAGGAGAGCCCGCCATATCGAGGATTGGACGGAGGGGTAATCCTGTCTTATGTATTTTAGGTAGTCCATACAAACGTGGTATAATGGCCTACTGGTCTGATGCGTTCGTTTTCTGACGATATTGCTGACTTATTCCTCATATTCTTTAAGACATCAGTCAGTTGATTTTCAATTAAAGTTCTTGTTCTTTCACCGTCGGTTTGGAATTTCGAGGATCATATTCATGACTTTAAGCCAGACCTTTGTGTACAAAAGAAGTATGTACAATCCCTACTGCTGCCTTGGCCGTAGAGGGATAGACATTTATTTATTTTATTATTGTATGTACTTTTCCCTTATTACTTCGATTATTATTATTATTATTATTATTACGACTCTCATTCTGAATCTTTTCCACTTGATCTACTTGACATTTTAAACCAAAAATTATTCATGTGTATACTTTTTATCTTTATTTTTACAATATTAAATTCTATGTTATCAAATTTCACACCATATTACGTAACATTTTACATTCGTCTATTAATCTTACAATTATATGCCTCTCCCCAAAATCTATATACCTGATGTATTATCTTATATATGACATTAATTATTGTTCCACTTGACTTAAACTATGAACCTAATCACAAATATTTTAAATTTATTTCATACTATTATTATTTCATGTATTTACACCTTTGACCTAATTCCCTCACCGGATATAATTTCTTTATAAAACCATATATATACGATTGTACAGCTTGATAATAAATTCGTTGAAAAGAGTCTCTTCGCTGAAAATTGTGTTCTTAATGCTACAATGGGAATTATTAAATTATTTTCTAAACATGGAAAAAGGTGACTCATGAAAGTTGTATATTTTTTTGTTATCACCAGGGCAGTGCAAGATTCACCATTGTCTCTTTCTGCGTACATAGATTTGGTTTAAGTCGTTTGATGGCACTGGCTTCAGCAAAGCGTAGCAAGCTAGGTTTCTTTTATTATTATTATTATTGCTCCCTTGAGTTCCTAGTGAAACATAGGGCTTCAACTGCATGTCTCCACTTGATTCTGTCTTCTGCTGTACTTTTCACCTGCATTCATGTTAGCCCATACTGTTTCAACTCCTCTTCACACGATCTCCTCCATGTTACCCGATGTCCGATCCATCTCCACTTTCTCCTGCATATTTGTTGGTTGACGATTGGCTCTTGTTTTGTTTGTTTGTTCCCATAGTTTCTTGTTGGCGATTCTTTCCGGCCCAGCCATCTGATCTTAAGCGTATTGCGAAGACAGTTGTTGTTGATAATGGTCTGCAACAGGCTGTTGGGAATATTCTTTGTGACCCGCCCTCCAAGTTTCTGATCCGTATAGAAGAACTGACTCAATTGACGTTTGTTTCTATTGAAAATCCGACCGAATTTTGTTGTTGATGCTGACTGAGTGACGAAGATTTCCAGATTGGTTTCAGGTTGATGAGTGAATGTGTTTCTCGCCTTCCCGATTCGCGCTCGATTTGGCATCCTCGTCCGTTTCGACTGCGTGTAGTTGAGACAATGCTCCCTAGATAAGTGAGTGAATGAAGTAACCTCTTTCAAATTCTTCCCGTTGATGGCGATTGACGCCTGGATGTTTCTGCTGTTGTTGTTTGTTTCTTTGCTTGTCGATTATATTTTGAACAACTTCAGGATTGTCTACAATATGACCAGTGTCTAATAGATGACGAGCAATCGCACTGTTTAATGCTCAGGTTCTTTGGTATGTGTTCAGAAGTGCGGACAATAGCCCTTCTCTCTGTTCTTCCAATGTGTATGTGCTTTGGCACGTACAACATGTAAATTGGTAGACACAGTTGGAAGTAACTCTTATTCTACTCAGTAACTATTACATTTTATCGAATTATTATTTTTTTCCTTTCTTTCCTTTTCTTCCAATTTTTCTAGCCGCGTAATGTTGAATGTCCTGAAGCCAATGCTATCGAAGAGATTCACGACAGAGTTCAAAAATGTCATCTTTTACCAGCATATAGTAATTGGTTTACAGAACATGCATGGGGTAAAAATAAACTTGGTGGTTTATTTGCTGAAGCCTCTCGATTGGCTGGCCTCCCAACAATATGGTTACGTAAACATCGTTCTAGGAATTTTTTTCCCGGTGGTGGAGGTTCTGGGATCGGTGCATTAGGCAATCATCAACAAAAGAAAAGGAAGACAGTGGAAGAGAAGAACAATAACAATGAGAATCCAAGTACTCATCATCAATTCACTTCAAGAGAAAATGATATCGGGAATGATGATGAAGGCGATGATGATGACGATGATGATGATGACGATGACGACGATGATGATGGTAATGGTGGTCATGGGGGTGAAGAGAATCACTTTGATGATGTCATCCTTGATGGTGATCATACAAGTCGAAGTAAAGAGAACAATAATAATAATGATGATTTAAGTATGCATACAGAAGTGAAACGTCGTTGTATTTTGAATACTGTGAAGAATACAACGAATTCGATATCGATATCGATACCGGCGACTGCAAACTCGACAACATTCATTTATAATCAACAAGAGGTAAGCTATATTATATATACATACATATATATTATTTCCTTTAATTCCTAGAGGAACATAGGGCTTCAACCGCGCGTCTCCATTGCGTTCGGTTCTCTGCTAGAGTTTTCACCTGGCTTCAAGTCTGCTCACATGCTTTCATCTCCTCTTCTCTGCATGACCTCCTCCGCCAAGTTACCCTCACACTGACGACCAACTCACCGCTTCCCATTCTGTTGGGTTCCACTCGAGCAATGGCTTGTCCAGTGATGTCACTCACTTGATGGTTTCCGCAGAGTATGGCCAGTCCACCACCATTTCTTCCTGCTTATTTGTTGCACAATCGGTTCGCCCCCAGAGATCCCTGTTTCTGATCTTTTCTGACCGGCCATCTGATCTCGAGCGAAGTATTGAACGAAGACAGCTGTTGATGAAGGTCTGTAGTTTGTTTGAGATGCTCCTTATGACGCACTGGCCAAGTCTCTGATCCATAGAGTGAGTAGCACTGACTTCACATTGGAGTTGAAAATCCGGATCTTGTTTTCATTTTCATGCTGAGTGCTGAGTATTGACCTCCACATAGACTTGAGAGTAATGAAAGCTTGTCCTGCTTTCCCGATCCTCATGCTTTGATATCCTCATCAGTTCGGTCGGCCTGTAGTTGAAACGGTGCTTCCCAGGTAGGTGAAGGAGGTTGTTTCTTTCAGGTTCCTCCCATTTATGCTGGCTGATTGTTGTCTGTTGTTGTTGCTGCTGTTGGTGTTGGCCAGGAATCTTCATCACCTACCTCTGTTTTCTCTATGTTCACTTGAAGTCCTATCTTTGATGCTTCTTCTGCCAACTTGTTGCTTTTCATCACTTGCATATCTTCCAGTTTGTGGGAAATCAGACATATATCATCGGCGAAATCCAGATCCTCCAAGTCTTTTGTGTCAGTCCATTTTATGCCTGTTCCCTCGTTGGTTGCCGTTGTCTGTCGCATTATCCAATCTACTGCAATCAGGAAAATCATTGGAGATAGTAGACAGCTAGCCTTGTCTTACTCCCGTCCTCACTTCGAAGGATTCCGTACGTTTCACGTTGTGGACTACTTGGAATGCAGCATTGTCGTACAACTGTTGGATGAGATGGATAATTGTCGGCGGCACCCCGTAGTATATATATATATACCTCCATGTTGTCCGGTTCCCCTGCGGTCTAATTAAACTGGCTCGACAATTGGCCGGGCATAAGCTTTTATCGCCTCCTCATATGATGTCTTCTCTGTTACTGTCGTTGACACGGCGTCCGCCTCGTCTTTTCCCATACGGGTTCCACTTGAGCTAGATGTTCTGGCTCCCGGTATCATTCACTCAGCCACCTCCTCAGCGTTGTGCGTTTGACTATCTCCACTTTTTTTCTCGAAATATGTGTTGAGCGGTGAGTTGTCAAAGTTTCTTGTTACTAACTCTCTTTCTCACCAGCTGTCTGATCTTCTTCACTATCAAGATGTTGAAGACATCTGTTGATAAAAGTCTGCAGTAACCTGTTGGAAGTGTTTTCCATCCATGATGCGAGTGCCGTCAATTTTCTGACTCATATAGGAAAAGTGACTGACTGACTGACTTAACGTTGGTTGGCTTAGACAGCTTTATTTATTTATTTGATTGCATGGAGGATTTTATCATGAACTGACATTAGTCAGAGAACCATTGGTAAACCAGCTGGGAGTACTGGACGGCTGTTTCGTCCTAGTTCGGGACTCTTCATCAGTACGCACCCACCAAGGTTTGAACCTTTTGTAACCCTTCTGGTTACAAGGCTAGCGAGCTCGTAGTCCATTGAGCCACTGGGATCCGATCCAATGGTCCTTGAATTCTAACTTCTGCCAATTCGCAATGTCTTCTTTGATGATTTACTGCCTCATCTTTGACCTACCGTACCCTACTGGTTACGGCTTCCTACTAGAAGCCCAGGTTAACAGCCTGCATTGGCATTTGTGCTTATTTCGTGTAGTTGAAATGATGCTGCCTTGGGATAGATAAGTGAACATAAATGACCACTTTCAAATTTATTCCTTTGATGATGACTCTGGTGCTTTTTGTTATTGGTTGGTTGGTTGGTTTTTGCTTCATCAACTCCGTTTGCATTATGTCTTCGGGGAGTCCTGTCTCCGCTGCGTGCTTCTTCACCAACTAGTTTGTTGGCTTTCGTCTGTAAGTCTTCGAATTTGTGTGTGTATGTGGTATTAGACACAGATCCTTCATGAAGTCCCGATCTCCTAGAGTCTTCTGCTTATCGGTTGTCCAACGTATTCCTGCCTTCTTTCCTGTTACCTTTTTATCTGCTATACGGAATGTGTGTGTGTGTGTGACTGCCTGAAGTAACTGTGCTTTTTGTACAAAAGTGTGTATGCTAGCAATTCGATAGGTGGGTTAAGAGTCATTTTGAGCATAATTTCGATTTGAAAATGTTACTATGGATAGATTAAATTTATGATGCTCATTTTGTTGGAGCATAAGTCCTATTGATTCCAGTCTGCTTTCTTTCTAGGTGGCTAAGTTATTATTATTATTATTGAAGCCAATTCCTTAGAAGGAAGTTGTAATGCACATTGTTCGTCTTTTTGAATAAGAGGAGGAGTTATGTAATATAACTACAAGGCTGGCCATTTTATGGCAACACCGTTCTACTCCGTGATGTTGACAGTTGTGTTATCGATTAGTATCTGATGGAATTGGGTTCAGTGTAATTTGATTGAATCCCGATAATAGAGAGTGAGTGACTGAAGAATTAACTGTTTTAAAATTTACGGGTTAACATATAAAACTCAACTGTTTCATTCAGTCACAGTCTACTCTATTTCAACTTGACCACCGGCGGCTGAGTAGTGTTGTAGTTTGATGCTTAGAAAATGTAGAATGATTCTCAGGAGGAGGCCTTTGTATGCTTTTGGAAGTGTGTAGGCGGTTATTACTTCCTGGCTGCCCACACACCGTAGAACTTGATTGGTTCTTCGGGTACCTGAAACAGAGACAGAAGGTTAGTGTTGCATGACCGCAGAGCCCAGGGGACAACTACTTGAGGTTTACCAGTCACACATGGCTTGTATGAACTGGTTTCTTGATTTGTTTCCGTATTAGTAAACTTACCTCCGGTTACGGCCCACCGTAGGTGGTGGGGTAAGTCGGAATGTACAGTTGTTGGGGTCGACCTTTTCTAGCCCCCTCTTTCCAGTAGAGTGAATTGACAGCATAGCTGGCATGCTGTTACATTCCTATTCCCCAGCAGTACGACTTCTCCTACAGACCCTCAGCATAATGTAAAAAAGGAAAATTCTTGCACTATGGCGGTAACTGCTTTTAGTCTAATCGCCACCCTGAAAACCTTCCTGTCATGACAGGTCCTTTAGGAACAATAGTTCCAGCCAGTGTAGCTTGTTGGACCATTATGATATGCAAACGCGACGACCACCACCACAACGTCAAGGTGGGCAGCTATTAGTCGGGCTTGGAAAATGTATTTCTCCTAACCTTGTCCCAATGAATAAGAATTAGCATAAATTTATCTTCCCCTTGAGGATATACTTGAACAGGATAAAAATGCATATATTGAGCAGGGTAACATGAATGACGTCACTATATATATATATATATATCTTGATACCAGGGTAGATGTACAGCTATCCTCCCGTTCTTTGGTTTAATGATCTTCATTGTTATTTTGACCTTCAATATGTCCTTTTAATTTGGCCTAAGTAATCTGTTTTCTCACCCCCTTAATTTTTTTTATTATTTTCATATGTATAGTATATGTTTCATTGATTTTTATCAGTTGCATACACCCATAAATAATTCAAAATATCCAAATTTCTACAAATTCACGATATATTATGGCGCAACTGTTAGCCAGTGGCATCGGTGGGCAAATGCCTTCATTGCCTGGCTTGGTGGACTCTTTCTTGTCACTGGGGGATCCGGGTCCCAGTGACTTAATTGGTGGTGGTGGTGGTCTATGAACTCGTCTTGTAACTAGGTGTGTATTGATGAAGAGTCCCAAACTGGGACGAAACAACTGTCCAGCACTCCCCCCTCTGGTTCTCTAACCGCCGATGTCAGTTCATGATGAAATCCTAAAATGTTGATATTAAAATTCCTTATGCTTGTAGTGCTGTTGAAGTGATAATATTGACTGTCTCACCGTTAAGTGTCGACCTAGACATTTGTCTAAATACAACTACATTTACATCTCGAACATGTATATTGCTCCTGGATGCAACTCCACAGAATTATCTTTATTTGCGGATGAATTTACTTCCCTTGCTGCCACCTCCTTCGGAAATTCCTTGTCTATAGTTACTGGTGATTTTAATTCTAGTGACCACAGCTTCCTAATTTCACTGGGACACGATAATATTGTCAACTTCCCGACTAGAATGGACAACACTCTTGACCTTGTTTTTACAAACGATGCAGGAATATTTGAAGCTCGAAAAAGAGCCCCACTACTAAATTCAGATCACTGTATCATAAGAATATTGCCCAAAGTATATGGAAAGCAGCACAAAAGGGTCTTCTCATACCTTGGAAAGAAAACACAACACAGATGTTATTCCCATGACAACATACTGAACCTAAGGTCCATGTTAAAAGACACAAACTGGGATCTATTTACTGAACAAGCTCTTGATAACACAATTGCCAACATAACACATTATCTTAATTTCTGTCTTGATGTTTGTTGTCCAAAAGAGACAATCTTCTTAAAATTCGATCGCTTCTCCTCTTCTCAACTCAAAAAGCTCCGCCGTGAAAAAGAAAGGTTGTTCAAAATGAAAAACAAATCTGGTGTTAAGAGAATGAACACTTTGATTAAGCTTGAATTACAAAGATTGAATGCTCTCTATAACCAGAAGTTTCTTTCATGTAAATCCCCATCAAATATGTGGAAGTTATTAAAGGAAATCACAGGTGGTAAGCAAATGTTGAATGATATTTCTGTAGATGTTAACATGCTTAATGAATCCTTCATATGTATCCCAGCAAATGTTATGATTCCTAACTCAAATAGTGTAAACAATGACTGCTTCTCATGCTTAAACACGTATGATGTCCTCAAGTGTCTTCAATCTCTCAAGCCTACTCAGTCCCTCGGTCCTGATGGTGTTCCTGCTGTTATCCTTAAGGAGTGTGCCGACATCTTGTGTTCCCCGCTAACTGACATTTTCAACGAATCGTTTTCCAAAAGTATTATACCTGAATCATGGAAAAACATCAAGATCGTTCCAGTGCCTAAATCTACAAGTGGACCTAATGTTAAGTTTAGACCCATTTCAATTACCTCACCCTTTTTGAAAGTTATGGAAAGACTTATTTTACTTAATCTTGATCCCTCTTTAAAACCTTTCAACGACCCCAACCAGTTTGCTTATAAACATAGTAGGAGTACGTTAGATGCCGCTGTCGTCCTCCACCATAGCATAGTCTCTAGTTTAGATAAAGGAGCTAAATACGTTCGCTGTGCCTTCCTTGATTACACATCTGCATTTGACTCTGTTCCCAGGTCTCTCTTGCTAAGTAAGCTTGCTGCAACACAGGCTGAAAGCTGGACAAATAAGTGGTTGCATTCCTATTTTTCTGAAAGGAAGCAGTACACCGTCTACAATGGAAAATCCTCCACTACCTCACTTACTTTAGCTGGTGTTCCTCAAGGTGCTGTTCTTTCTCCCTTTCTGTTCTCGTTTTTCTTACATGACTTGCCTCATTCTGATGTAGCCACTTTTGTTAAATATGCCGATGACCTCTCGGTTTCTATGCCTGTCAACTCTCAGTCAGATTGTTCCAAATTAAATAGCTTTCTGTCGGAAATTAGTCAGTGGTCCTCTTCAAACGGACTTAAGCTTAATCCGTCTAAATGTCAGGTAGTCAATTTCACTTTCAGACGTAAATGTGACCTACAGCAACTAGTTAGCTCACATGGCCCCACTCTCATTGACGGCACAGAGGTTGAAAATACATCTTATGTCAAGTACCTTGGGCTGAGTTTTTCCACCGATCTTTCCTGGTCTTCCCACATCTTGCTAGTTACTAGAAAGATGTTTCGCTTAACGTTCTACATTAGGAAATTTAGGCAGTCTGGCATAAACCAGTCTTTACTTTCTCAGTTTGTAAATTCTTGTATTCTACCCATCCTCCTTTACTGCTCCCCATTAGTCTTTCCTGGACTACTTAAGAAAGACTTTGCTTCGCTGAGAAGGGCACTAAAAGCTGTTAGTAGGGCAAGTGGGATATCGTTAAACCAACTGGTGAACACTATTGTAGATAGACATATTATGTCATGTAAGAAACTAGCGAATACAATATTGTCGGACCCCAAGCATCCTCTCTATACGCATCTATCTCCTTGCATTTCATCTGGAAGAACTAGAAGCAGCTATAGGAGGCTATATGCTAGGACTACCAAATACAAAAACTCCACAATACCATATCTGGCACAGCTGTTATGTGATGAGAAATCCGTTAGGTATGACACGATAAACTTACTGCGGCACTCTAACAAATAGTCCCATTAGTTTTTGTTTTCCTTTCCTCGTTACTATTACACTGTTGTTCTCATCTAGTACCACACATCAACTTTATATTTCAAATCCTGTGTTGCATTGTTTGAAATGAAATACTCTACGTTGTTTTTTTTTCTTAATTTTTAATATTTATTTATTTTATTTATTTATAACTAATTTATTTTATTTTTATTTATTTATCTTTGATTTTTAAAAATCTTATATAATTTATGAGGTAATTAGATGCAATATACTGTAATGCACGCTGAAAATTCCATACCTGTACCACAAATACTGTTTGGAATAAAGCTGTTATTATTATAAAAAAAAAGAAATATATATGCAATGACGTCATTCCTTATCCTGCTCACCTTATAATTTTTTTTTGATTTACAGCTTGATTCCACACTGTATCTTTGGTACAAGTATGGAATTTTCAGCATGTGATATCGGTAGCCCAAATTTTGCAGGCCGACCATAGATATCAGGTGTGCGCCGGCGTGGGCTCGAACCCCGGACCATGTGCATGGTCGGCGAGAGTCCTAACCACTGTGCCACCGACGCACCTAATCTATCTTGCCATCACTTTCCTTAATTGTGTGATTTTCATGCTCTCTGTCTTTCCTCTTCTCCTTGCTCTATTTTCCACAGGGTTCTTGTATTACAACTGTAACTGGAACAACAACACCAACAACAGCGAATAGTGTAAATATTCTTCCAAGTTCAATGACCATTTTAAAACCGAAAGAAATAATTTATACCTCAACAGTCAATCAATAGTAAGGAGTAGTGTGTGCAGGCATATATATATCGCCCCGTCCTGTTCCGCTTGCCCTTCACTTTCGTTCCTTTTCTTCCCATTCCATCCATTGACAGAGATCGTTTCCGAGCTGTTCTCAGTGTGTGGAGTCTCTCGACTGAAGCCTGTTTGATTGTCTGTCTGTCTATTGGTGTTTGCGTGTGTAGTTATGTAGATTCTTTTTTGTTTTTATTATTATTATTTTTCATATATTGCTGAATCGTCGTCAATAGGTAAACGAAAAAATGTGCATATCACTTTGCGGTGCTTTTTATCAATCGCTGTTATTCTTGCTTTTATATACATATATATATACACACACACCTGCATTTGAGCTTTTTAACTCGTATTTTTTATCATCGTATAATCATTGCTTTAAAATAAATATTATCCTCCAGTTGCCATAACATTCATACACACAACTTTTAACTAGTCTAAGTTTATTTTTCGAGTGGGGAGAGTTTCTGCTCCTATTTTCCACTCTGTGTTTATGCTTATTGCTTTATACTGCTGATGAAGAACAACTTAAAAACACTATGATTTCGGCTTAATTTTTTTGTGTCCTATTTTTACAGCTGTAAGACACTAACACAATAAAATTTATTATTTTTGCGTTTAATCAATCTTTTTGTATATATTATTCCTTCTTCTTTTATGCATTAGTAAGACAGACAGCCCGCCCTGTCCTGTCCCATCCTGTCTATCTACTTCTTTTTCTTGTGAACATTGCATTTCAACCTTGTTTATGTCTTTATTTACATCCACACACACACACAAACACACCTACATGCAACGATATTATTGTGTACAAATTTATACGCGTCTTTTTTTATTGGTTTAACATGCATGTCTGTCTGTTCTGCTGCCAATCTCACCTACGCAGATATCCATAAGCAGTAAGCATTGTATATTTAATCGCTGGAATTATTTACTGTGCGTGGGTGTTTTAATTGGTGGTTATCTTTATCAATCTTCCAATCAAATTTTAACCTCATATATCAAGAACAATTCACCTTGTAGGCATGTGTGTGTGTATGTCTGTATCTAACATTCTAAGTCAGTGTGCATTAATTATTAAGTTAATACTGCCGAATAATGATAATTCTTCCCTAGGGATGTTCTTTGTCTGGTTTCTTTTATTTTGGCCTCAAACTATTATTATTTCCGCCCTTCTTTTTTCCCCTAGAACTCATTGCAAAATAATAATAGTAATTTCATTGATTTTACAGTTTATCTATTGCTTCAAAAGAAAGCTTTATATGATGAGTTTGTCACGTTTTTCAGTCTTTTTATCCTCTTGTCTTATCGCCTTCTAGTATACATAAACATACATATATTTATATACATATTTATAATGCTTACTTTTATTATGATAAAGATATTTATTCGTATACATATATTTTTTGTTACAGGTTATTATACACTACTATTATCAGTATTTATAATAATAAAAATAATCTTATCAAGAATTATAAATGTAAGAAATAAATTTCTTTCTAATGATGATGATGATGATGATGTCATTTTCCTCAACTATTTTCTTAAATTATAGCTTGATTCCACTATGTATTTTTCGCATAAGTATGGAATTTTCAGCATGTGATATCGGCGTATTTAGCTGAATTTTGGATTTTTCCGTCGATTGATGATTGGACCGAAGTGCTCGGTCTCAGGTTGACATGTCGATTGGCTTGTTGTGCAGATGCTTCCACGTTGCTTGGACACAACATCATCATTCACTGGGAAATGCAGGTACATCCAAATGATGGGCCCCAAATAGGACGAAATGCGCGTTGTCCTGGATTCCACTTCTAGTCACCATCCACCAATTAAATTGTAATATCAGTAGCCAAAAAATTTACAGGCCAGCTAACTGGTATCAAGTGTGCATCCTCCGGGGATCGAATGCCGGACCATTTGCATGGTCAGCGAGCGTCCTAACCCCCACCAACGCGTATTATTGATCAGTGTTAGATGAACAGTTAGAGTATTTGATGAAAACGCTTTTTGATTTTAGTACACGCTCGAGGGTGAATGAACACTTACTGTGAATAATTATCTCCCTGGTTTCGCCATAACTGTTTCTAACTGTTATCACAATCCATGATCGAACTTGGCATATTTTTTCTGTGAGTCAGGATTTCTTACAGTTGGAGTTTAGATTTTATGCCTTGTTGGGAATATTCAACACGATTCTTAGGTTGTGTTCGATCCAATAATCTTGTCGTATAGTAGTGGGTATTTTCTGCCTGAGGAACTTTTGGACTGTATATTACAAATGTCTGTTAAGTTTAAGTGTTTTATTGACTCTGTGTGTGACTCATTTTGTAATGACAGAAGATAAGGGTCAGGAAACAGATCGTTTTATAGATTTATATGTACATCATTGTCAGCGGAGAAGCAACCTCCTCTGATTGGTTGTTTTCTTGCTAGAGGTTGTTCTGTATTGCTTATGACTGTTTCTTAGAAAGTTAAGCCATATATCTATGAATTGTATTTGCACACGTTGAGTCTGTTGTGATTGGTTGTTGAGCTCCTCAAAGTTAAGCTTTGTGATTGTTTTTTTCTCATGACCCCTATTCAGGACGTGAACATTGACACGTAAATTGTTGTCTACAATTTTTGCGAGCAGACAGCTGTCACCACAATATAAGAGCAAAAAGGAGAATTAGACAAAGAATATGCTCTTGGATAATTTCCTTACCATCTGACTCTACATGTATTGACAACATCTGAAGCGCTACTTAGGATTCTTTATGCAGCAGTGATAAGGTTGGCATTTAAACCAAATTCTCTGAGGACTTAAGGAGCCTATTGACCCAAATAGACAAAATAATGTAATTTACAAAATACCTTTCAATGACTTCGTGATTGAGATCAATTACATTGGTCAGACACATAGATCGGGAGCAGTTAGATTATGAGTGACATGAGAATTTATCTAGTTGTAGAATGATTGACCCCACGAAGATGAGTAATTTAGAGAAAAAAAGTGCTCAGCAATCGCCATACATGCATTAATATACAATCAGACAGTAGGATACGACAGAGTTAAATTTTTAAAGAATCAACTCGTAGGGATTTGGTCCTCTAAGTGATATTTATCCGTCATCAAACTTGAAACATGTCAATTCCCTGCCAACTAACTCTTGAAAATTAATACGATGCTCAAGTGTTGGTTTGTAGGGATTTGGCTGATTGGTTACAGGATTTCATCATAAGCTGACATTGGTTAGAGAACCATTGGAAAACCTGGGGGTACTAGACAGCTGTTTCTTCCTAGTTTGAGACTCTTTATCAGCACGCACCAACCATAGGGGGTTCGAACCCAGGACCTGGTTACAAGACTAGCGAGCTCGTATACCATTAAGCCACTGGGACCCGATCCAGTAGCCATCCTATGAATTCTAACTTCTGCCTAACTAGGACGAAACAGCTGTCTAGTACTCCCAGCTGTTTTTCCAATTGTTCTCTAACAGATGTCAGCTCATGATGAAATCCTGTAACCAATCAATCAAATCCCTACAAACCAACACTTGAATATCGATAAGATGCTCACTAGCGACTTTCCCTATTCAGGTAGATAGTTACCTGGGGTTCTAGTGAGAAGTTGTGAGCAGTAGGGTGCAGCGGGTCAGGTGTGAGGGCAAATACACGCCGAAGACATTGGCTAGTGGTCGTGCTATGTCATTCATGAATTGGCAGAAGTAAGAATTCATGGACTGGCTGGCCATTGGATGGGGTTCGAATGGCTTAATGGTGTATAAGCTCGCTAGCCTGTGGTGAGAGCAGCCTGCTAGCCAATTGTTTGACATTAATCTACGTCAATGTCTAGGTCACTAATATGGGCCGTGAAAAAATATGAAGAAGGCTGTTTCAACAACCAATCACAGCAAACTTAAATGTGGGCAAATATGATTCGCAGATGGATGGCTCCACTTTCCGAGGAACTCGAAAACAACCAATCAGAAGACTGCGTTTGTCTACTGGATTAGGATATAATAATGTATGTGAAATTTATATAAATACGTGTTGATTTTCGTAATAAAACGATATGTTGCCTGGCCCTTGTCTTCTGCTGTTACAAGCCGTGTAACCAGAAGGTCCTGGGTTTGAACTCTGGAAGTGGGTGGGTGCATACTGATGAACAGTCTCAAACTAGTTGGACGAAACGTCTGTCTAGCAGTACTCTCTATGGCTAGTTTTCCAATGTTTCTTTAACCAATGTCAGCTCACAATGAAATCCTGTATTACGATGCTTACTAGTGACTGGTCACAGGATGAAATCGTCCGCAGTTCTAGTAAGAAGTCGTGATCAGCTCAGTCTACCAGGTTTGACATGAGGACAAGTACTCGCCAATGTCATTGGCGGTGGTAGTGGTGGTGATCGCGCCTAAAGCCAGAAATAGTGAAAGTTGAGATTCATGGGACAAAATAGTCTAAGAGTTTGTTCGACTTGTGTAACCAGAAAATTCTGGTGTCGAACCGCAGTGGGTACTGACTGACTGACTGATGAAGACCACAAAAATACGATGAAACAGCTCTCCAGTACTTCCTGTTGATTTTCCAATGGTTCTTTAACTGTAAGGATAGGTTCACTGCTGAGTCGTTGTTTGTCGAATCTAATGAACATAATGCCTGCAATAGGAATGACACAACATGTCGACATACCAGAGATATGGAAGGTAACACTGACAATAAAATCAGAGGATAAAAAAATTAATGGAATTTTGTAAACGGAGTTGGAAGACGGCTCTATGTGACTACCTCGATATATATATATATATTTTCAAGTGTTGGTTTTGTAGGGATTTGGTTTGATTGTATGGAGGATTTAATCATGAGCTGACATCATTTAGAGAACTACTGGAAAACCTGGGAGTACTGGACAGCAGGTGAGGCAATAACTCACCGAAGAAGACATTGCGAAGTGGTCGCGCTATGTCGTGAATTGGCAGAAGTTAGAATTCAAGAACCATTG